TAGCTACCAGGTTAGCGTACCCTCTTGTGTCGCCTTTGAGCGACCAGAATCCTCTGGTCATCTGAACTTCGATGCAGTTTTTCCCAGTTTTTCAGCAGTCTTCTGTCTTACTGTCATTAGCCTCTATTTTGAACAAAATTTGTCTCCTTCACATCACGGCAGTTTCACGTGCCGCTGCTATGATGACCAGCTATGTTGAGAGGGTACTTCATCTGCAGTGGAAAACAAAGTAGCTGGTACCAAAAGCTAATACAGTAAAGTCGAATTGAGCCATACCATGCAGGGGTAAAGCAGCTTTAGACAACATAACGGTACAGTATAACCCAAAAGTTGTTGGAGGCCCCCTGGTGGCTGCAGTGTTCTAAGCAGCTGCTTATTTCACTTATTAGGTAGAGCAAGCCCTGAGTGGAGGTGAAGCATGATGCTATTGGTTAATATTATTTCTCCGGCCAGTTGTGCATGGTGATGTAATCATAAAAAAGGGGACCTTTTCTGAAGCGGGGTAAAAGTCATCACATTTTGATGAGATTACAAGAAAATAATTATAGAAGAATTTTGTATTTTGAATGATATGATGAACTGTGCTTAATATGACCAGGAACATCAGCCTCCAACTTAAAAAAGGTAAGCTTTAATTTCCACTTGACTTAAAAATTAGTCAGACACTAATGAAGAACTACTCATTCAGATTTGGGACTTCTGGAAATTTGGAAAAGTTTTAATCTTTTTTCTCCCTTAATCTTAAATCTATGAGCATCGTTGTACTGGCACAGTGAAAAAACTCTATCTGGCCTTTATTTAAATATACTAACCTTAATTATTTGGTCGTTTAGCACATTTTCATTTTACAGAAATGACAGAGGCTGTAATGTGGGAAAAATTTAACCATAAAATGTGTAATGAAATGGAAAGTAGAAGGTAAAAAAAATGGACATCACAATGATGTGTCTCATGAAGTTAATATGACTCTGTACAGCTGTTACATTTATGTATTTATGGTCTATTACTGACTAATCTGTTTTCTGTTTACTCAGGGTAACATTCATTTTCCCATCCCAACGTCATTAAGTTAAACGCTGGCATGTTCAGTCCACCCACAGAGTCCATATTTAATTTACCATGCTAGGAATGCACTTTTGAATAAGGCTTATTTATTAATGTGTGGTAAACATTACTCAAACGATGATTTATAACAGTTTAGGATGAAAAATTGCATGATTCCTTGTTGACTCCGGAACGCTCTCAGCTTTTCCCGTTTAGACTCATTAATCAAAGTTAACGAAACAAATCTCAAGAGACACTTCTAACCCACAGTGATTTGCAGCCGACTCATTCACAATCATTTTCTGCTTGGAGGAAAAATAAATGTTCCAGTCCCTGTATTGGTTTACTGGTACACAGTGGTCTCCTGTCCATCTGTGACCATAAATTCTAGAAAATGAATTTGTTTTTTCTTTTCTTTGAGATATGCTGACATCTAATGACACTGGTGCAGACTTGTAATTTAGAGCAGTGGCATTTACATTTACATTTACATTTACATCATTTAGCAGACGCTCTTATCCAGAGCGACTTACAAAAAGTGCTTTGTCTATCCAGAGAAAGAATCTTCGCTAGCTACCGATAGGTTAGAGAGAAAGTCAGTCCTAAGCTCAGATACTGGTAGAATCAGAAGGTCATTGACACCTAGTGAAAAAGGGACAGAGTTAAACACAGAACAGTGCAATACGATAAAATACATAAGTGCTGTACAATACATTACAATCAATACTTAATTTAGTGCTCATTTAAGTGCTGAATAAACAGGTGTGTCTTCAGTCTGCGTTTGAAGACAGCGAGAGACTCTGCTGTACGGACAGCCAGTGGGAGTTCGTTCCACCACCTGGGTGCCAGCACAGAGAACAGTCTAGTTGCTTGCCTTCCACGCGCCTTGCGCCTGGCATCTTATCGCGCCTGGCATCTTATCTGTGCTGTAAACGTTCAGTATATGATGTGATGTTTACTTTAAGTTAAGGTTAAATTTAACTCTTTACTTAATATTAGTCCAACCTGAAATCACAATGCAAACCAAGGCCCAAACTTCAGATTAAAAATGTGCAATTAGTCCATCTAGTGGTCAAAACACGTCATTGCAGCTCTACAATGTTAATACTGATAACATTAAAGGGGAATTGAACCACTTTTTTAAAACTCCTACATGATTATATTGGTAAGATGTGAACAAGTCTTTCAGAGTGGTGTGATGTGAAATGCAAAGTCAGAATTGTTCTTAGTGGTAATGATAGGAACCAGACATCCAGAGTTTAATGCCTCTAAAACAGGGCTGCTCAAAGTCGGCCCATGAGGATGCTTGATTTAATAGAATTTACCCCTTATAAAATTGAGTATTTCAGTAACAAAACATAGTATAATGTTATAAATACATTAAAAAGTATTTGTAAAGGTGAGTCACAAACCGTTTTCAAAAAATGTGTTTTATAACTATACATTATATTTATGGAATATTTTGTAACAAAGTATAGTGTAATGTTATAAAATACATTTTTCAAAACTCTATTTCAAACTTACACCGATCAGGCTTAACATCATGACCACCTCCTTGTTTCTATCCTCATTGTCCATTTTATCAGCTCCACTTACTATATAGGTGCACTTTGTAGTTCTACAGTTACAGACTGTAGTCCATCTGTTTCTCTGGATACTTTGTTAGCCCCCTTTTACCCTGTTCTTCAGTGGTCAGGACCCCCATGGACCCTTACAGAGCAGGTACTGTTTGGGTGGTGGATCATTCTCAGCACTGCAGTAACACTGACGTGGTGGTGGTGTGTTAGTGTGTGTTGTGCTGGTAAGAGTGGATCAGACACAGCAGTGCTGCTGGAGTTTTTAAACACTGTGTCCACTCACTTTCCACTCTATTAGACGTACCTGCGTTGTTGGTCCACCCTGTAGATGTAAAGCCAGAGATGATAGCTCATCTCTTGCTGTACAGTAAGAGCTAATCATCCTCTAGTCCTTCATCAGTGGTCACGGGACGCTGTTGACTGGATATTTTTGGTTAATGGACTATTCTCAGTCTAGCAGTGACACTGAGGTGTTTAAAGGGGGTCCTGACCACTGAAGAACAGGGTAAAGGGGGCTAACAAAGTATGCAGAGAAACAGATGGACTACAGTCTGTAATTGTAGAGGTAGGTTTTCTGGTTGTTGTGGATTGTAAATAAAATGTCTATATTTGGACTGCAGACATAACAAACCCTGGTTCCTATCACCATCACTGTAAAGGAAACCTGTGTAAGTTTCTTTACAGTGAACCATTTCATATCAAACCACTCAGAATGTACCACGTTTACATCTCAACTATTGATTTACGCAAAATGTTTGAAAAATCAGTGAAATTCCTCTTTAAAGATTTCATGGCGAGTTCATGAACTGCAGGTCTGAGCGGACTAACTGTGTTCTTCAAGCAGCAAAGTTAAACGTCTGAAAACTGAAACTGAAAGTGTGAATATTTCTCTGAACTGAGCTCATCAAAATCTCGAGGCACCAAAAAAAAAACAGGCGTTTAAGTTATTTAGCAGTACCTCGCGCGCGCCCTCTAGAGGAAATTAAAGAATACAGAAAGTCCACAAATCCTCGAACAGCAGTCACTCACTGTTTTTATTGTATGACTGTATATAGAAGATAATAAACAGTTGATGATGAATTCAGTACATTAGGAAAGCACGGTTTATATCCACCAGCCCACCACACTTTCCCGCCAAAAGTTCGCCTTCTCTGACGACGGCGTCATCAGGGAACAGTAGGCAACGACCATGGCGGCGCGTTCTTCAAAATAAAGGTTCTTGTGCGTGGAGAAATCCGTCAGTGCACAGGTTGAAAACAAAACCAAGATACTTACCAAAGACAATTCATGTCACCCCCGCTTTGAAAGAACTTCACTGGCTACCTGTATCTCTCAGGAGAGATTTTAAAGTTCTGCTACTAGTTTTTAAGGCTCTGAATGACCTAAAAGCACCGCTTACATCACAGAATGTCTGTCTGTTCCATCATGTGATCTTAGATCTGCAGATACCGGCCCTCTGCAAATACCTTATCTAAAACACAGAAAATGTGCAGAGGCCTGTTTTGGTTAGTATGCTTCTAAAGTGTGGAACTCAGTTACACCAGACAGTCAAGCTCAGTGCACACTTCTAAGAAACATCTTTAACTTAATGTTTAATTAAAATTCTACCTCTTTTTGGTATTAATGTTTTCAATTTGATCTGTTTGCCTTACATGATTTTAATGGAATACTCATAATTTTTTTCTATTACTGTTGCAAAGCACTTTGAGCTGCCACTGGTATGAGAAGGGCTCTATAAAGAAAGATTATTATTATTATTATTATTATTATTAATAAATGTAATAATTTATTTTATGTCTATAAGATGTAAATAGTATTAATACACAATTTGTTTACATTGTTCATAGTACTCTTGATTCCAGAAACGAGACTTTTACTTTATAAAATGAAGTAGTGGTGTCTTAGTTCACACGCTGGCTCAGAACTGTCACTCTAGCTGCGTCCCAAAACAAAAACAAAGGTATTTGGCTCAGTGCGGAGACTGTTGTTGCTCCTGGTAGTTTAATTTTCTATTTGTTTCGTGTTATGTTAACTGTAGATATCTTTAGGAGGGATTTCTGGAATGTCTCATGTTTGCCAAAGTGGTCTTTACGTTAAATAGTTACATTTTAGCCAGTTTGTTAGCGTTAACTGCTAACGCCAAGCTAACGTTCCAGTTCTGAGATTTGGGGAGTGAATTACTAACGTTGTTTCTTTTACTGGTTTATAGTTTTAAATGTGCATTATGTTTAACTAGATACGTGAATTAACTTAAACGATCTGGTCTGAAGTCAGCTTCCTATTCGCCAGTTTCTTGTTCAGATTTTCCGTTCCACCTTAAATGGTGCAGCAGTTACATTCTGGCGCAGGAGATGTTGGAGCTTAACTGGTGTAACTGCTGCACCATTTAAGGTGGAACGGGACATTTGAACAAGAAGCTGACGAATACGAACTCCAGCCTCGTCCTGAAAAGTTAGGTTACAACATCTGTCTAAGGTTTTAAGTGTTTATTTATTATTATTATTGGTTAATTTTTATGGATCATTTACTAAGGTTTTGCCGTTTTGTCTGTAGGGCCTAATAGCTCTCAGTGTTAAAAATGGAAATACAGTCACTGGCTTTATTAATTTTATTACTGTACAATCTTTGTTTAGTTTATCAGCTCCACTGACCATATAGGAGCACTTTGTAGTTCTACAGTTACAGACTGTAGTCCATCTGTTTCTCTGCATACTTTGTTAGCTGCCCTTTACTTTGTTCATCAGAGGTCAGTGCTCCCACATTTGGGTTTGGGTGGCAGATCATTCTCAGCACTGCAGTGACTGACATGGTACGAGTGAATCAGACACAGGATGAGTTTTCTGGAATTTTTAAACCCTGTGTATGTTTACTGTCCACTCTATTAGACACACCTTACATGTTAACCCACTTTGTACATATGTAATGTTAGAGACGACAGTGTGGGTTTCTTGTCCTTCATCAGTGGTCAGTGTCTGGCCACAAGACGATCTTGACTGGATATTTTGGTTGGTGGACTATTCTTAACCCAGCGATGACAGTGAGGTGTTTAAAAGTCCAGCAGCTCCACTCAATAACATACCGCTACTGTGTTAGTCTCACTGCATTTCTGAGAATGATCCAACACCCAAATAATACCTGCTCTGTGGTGGTCCTGTGAGGGTCCTGACCATTGATGAACAGGGAAAAAGGGAGCCTAGCAAAAGGTACAGAAAACCAGAATTAATATAACCTGTAAATACTATAAGAGTTACAAAGTGCACCTGTATGGTAAGGGGTCCTGATAACATGGACAGTGAGTGTAGACATAAGGTAGATGTAATTAATGAAAGGGTCAGTGAGTTTGTTTATATATTTGATTTGTGTTTTGAAGGTATGAATGAGAGAAAGCTGTGTAAGTGACAGCAGGGCTGGGCGATAATGCAAAAATAATATCACGATACTTGAAAACATTTTCTCAATACATGAGATGTATTACGATATTTAGTTTTGAGGTTTGATCAGTTGAAACAGACAGAATGACCCAGCAGTGGCATGTTTAAAACATACTATCAAAAACGATGAGTACAGTGATCTTTATTGTTTCGCACACTCTGCACTAAATCCAATTAAACAGTAACCGTTTTCTCTCTTTGTAATGAAAAATGCAGCCAATCAATGTTTCTGAATACTGATGATATGCTTAGAAATGTTATGTGGCATAATTTATTACAATATGATAGTCAGAGGTGGGTTGAGTAGCATAAATCCATAGTAAATCCACACTCCTTAAGTAAAAGTATTATTACAATAAAAAATACATTAAAATAATGACTCAAGTAAAAGTACCTTCCAAAAAACATCTACAAAAGTATGAGGTCAAAAACTATTTAAGTACTGAGAAACGTACACAACTGCAGTGCACCTGCTGACATAGGAAATTAAGTTTGTTTGGCTCTATTCTTCTGTTTTTATAATAAATGAAAATACATATAATAATAGTTAATAATAATTTAGGCCACACTTTATTTGAATGGTCCCATATAGATGCTCTACAAATACCTAAATCCCTAACAAACTTTCTAGTGATCTTCAACAACAGTATGGTTATGGTTAGGGTTAGGAGTAGGTGTAGGTTTTGCCTTTAGGTTAAGGTTAGAGTTAGGTTTAGGGTTAGGGATAGATTTAATAAACTCTTTCACACTGAATTTGAAGTTCAGTTTCATTTAATAGATATTTAGTTGAATGTTACTTGAAAATATACTGAGCATTTACAAAGCATCTACAGTGGACCATCCAAATAAAGTGTTACCACAATTTATCATAAATAAAGTGCTAAATCTCCAGAGTCAGAGGTGTAACCATTTACAAAGCAGTACAGATGTTATCACCAACAAAACATCATGAAATTAAAGACAAAAAGGAATAAATTACTAAATTTGAATGGTTAAAGTGTAACTGAATAAAAGTAGTTTGCTGTACTCACTAACATAGTTTAGTAGAAGTTAAAGTGTCGAATGATTTGAAAATACTCAGGAGAGTACTTGTAATTGAGTAAATGTGAGTAGTTACTACCCACCACTGAAACTATGTCATATTGCCCACCTCATCTGCAATGTTTGTCTGTTTTTATCCATATTACCAAAAGAGAGATTGAAAATGAGCACTTGCTCATGTTTTTCAGGTCCAAACTGCACAATGTCAGCTGTTAAAGGGGAATCTTCAGCCACATCACCGGTCCTGTTCCTAAACACAAAAGGTGAACCGATGCGCTTCTTTATAAGGCCTGGTCCCACCAAACTGCAGCTCCAGCCTTTAATAGCAAACGGTGGAGGCATCCTGTGCCGGACTCAGGAGCCCAGTGCCATTCTGTTGGCGGATCCCGGAGAGATCCATGCTGTTGTGGACGGCGCTGGGCAGTTCTACATTTCCACTCAGTACATCCGCGACTGTGTTCTACAGAACCAGCAGTTGGATATAGAACAGTACAGGTTCAGCAATTTGCAGCCTGTTCAAACGAGGGCAGCTTCACGGAAACAGCGAGGCAGCGGGCGCATGGGTTACTCGTTGGAAGACGACGCCGCCATTTTGGATTTCATTGCCAAGCGACGTCATGAAGCCAAAGGCAACCGCGTGTGGCAGCAAATGGAGCGAGAAGGTGTCACCGCACACACCTGGCAGTCCATGAGGGATAGGTTTCTGAAACACTTACAGTATAAGCTGACAGACAAAAGCCCTGGGAAAAAGAGGAAAGTTCTGCCCTTGAAGGAAAGTTCTTCATCTGAGGATAATGTCTCTCAGACGTCACCTCAAAAGAAGGACGCCAAGAAAGCCCCAGTGACTTCGTCCTCTGATTCAGATCCCACACATATTAGCCCTGATGTTCAGCGCGTGACGGCAGACACACCAACACACCAATCAGATCCACAATCTTCACCTGAAAAAAGCAGCTCCCCTCAGCGTCCCAGTTCAGAGAAGAACCAGACTCCTGCCCCAAGTGATGAAGCTGAGAAAGAAGCTAGCGGTGATAAGCCAGACCAGGAATCATCGCCTGAGCAGCAGCAGTGCCAAGAAGACAGCGAGCAGCCTGAAGTTTCACCTAAAAGAGCTAGAATGGACCAGGATGTGACTGAGAAGGAGACAACAGATGGTATTTTTTTTGCTCTGACTTTGACTAAAAGGGCAATGAAATGTGTCAATACAATAAAATATGTAGCTGTAAGACTCTTAAAGGGAAATCGCACTTCTGCATAATTCAGTTCAATCATTGAGATGTAAACAGTCATTCAAAGTGGTTTGATATGAAATGGTTAATTGTAGAGAAACTTACTGACTCAGTGGTGGTGATAGGAACCAGGGATTCCCATGTCTACAACACAAACATAGCCATTGTATTTAATATCCAGAACAACCAGTGTCTCCTGAGTTTTCATGTGTAATAATTATAGTGGTAAAATAGTGGTAAATCAGGAATTTTCTTTGGTGACTATATTGTCTTATGATGTCCTGCATATACCAAACCCACCTCAAAACTCTTGTAAAGCAAGATCTCAAGCAGCGTATTCATAAACATTACCTGCAATAACTTTCTGTGAGGTAGCTTTTAGAGCAGTGACGCTGAAATTTGTTGTCTTGAGGGGCCAAAGTGCAATATTTGTTGGGCTCGGGGCCAAAAAGACAAAAACTGTACAAATGAAGAAGGTAGGTTGGTCTAAAATTTCAAAAAGGATAAAAAACATTACAAATAGCCCAAAAAACATTTGTCAAAACTACTGTAAATCAATGTCTCAGACAGCATATTCATAACATCATAACAATCATTTCATGTAATAACTTTCTGTGTGGGAGCTTTTAGAGGCAGTAAATTCTTCATGTCTGCTTCTCATCACCACCACTGTGAACAGTTCTGACGTGGTTCATTTTGGAATGTCACATCAAACAAATGAATGACTTTTTTTACACTCACTGCAAAAATTATAAGACAAGTCTGGCAAAAAATCTTTTTTATTTCATGAAATAGAGACCCAAACCGAGCAAACGTTTCAGCCTCTTGCTGTCATCACTGGTTGAATTTTTTTGCAGTATGTGGACAATATTTTCTTTTTAAGAATACAGTTTTTTTGCTGTATGCACCTGCAGCAACTTACTGTGCATGTATTATGGAGTGCAACAGTATTTTTTTTACCTTTGTTGTTTACATCATAACCATTTATAACCTTTTAATAACCATTCAGTTTTGAGGAAATTTTGAAATATTTGTGGAATTCCTCTTTAATTCTTTGGATCTAGAGTTAGATACCACAACTTATGTAATGTAAGACAGTGTGGTCCTTATTTCCTGGCCAAAACATTATCAAAAGGTGTGAAAATGATATTTATTCATGACCACAATAAAGTATTAGGAGTGAATGTGATCATTTTTTAAATCTTTAGTAAATTTTGCATGGACGCTACATATTGATCTCATGCCGAGTTCTGGGTCTTGTCGACACTTGTTTTATTGCATAGGCATGACAAAAAATTAATTTCACAATGTTCCCTTTTCTACACCGATACTGAAGTTTACCATTGATATTTGTTTAGAACAAACAATCTCTTACAAACTATGCACATTTTGTAGTTGTGTAGCGTCTGTAGTCTTTTTCTCAGACTCCTTTACTGAAGGTGAATTGTGGTACTTTCACTTGTACAGTCTGCTTATTGTCCATGATTTCTTTGGCTGTCACTTAAGGCTTTTTCTGCTGTAGCCGTCTTTGAATGCCTTGCTGCCTTGCTTTGATGTAATAATATGTATGTCTTATTTTGTATTGTAATCTATTACATCTGCTACAGCCCTTGCATTCTTTAAAAAAAAACTTTTTGTCTTTGTTTTTTTTTATTTAGGACCAAAAGATCAGCTGACTACTCCCACTGAGATCAGACAAAAGACATCCAGACCTCATGGAAGGAAGCTTGGCATACTCGAGAGAGCTGCCAGAGAATTTGAGGACTCTCAGATGGTAACATTAACACCTCCACTGAGAAATTATTATTATGTACACTTACTGTTAAAGGCAGCTATGCACTTGAAAGCCAGTCTTGTATTACTGCACAACAAAGTAATAAGCATGTAGACATGCATGATAAGTCAGTCTGAAAGGTCGCAGAGATTTGTATGCATCTGTTTTGAACTGCTAATAATTTTTATAATAATAAAAGTTTGGCATATTGTTTAATGTTTACATTTCATAAGAGAACAGGGCCCAAAATAACATGGAGTAAAAAGTAACTTGGACTTTTATGTTAAATAGGTTCAAATAGAACATGCTTCTGCTCATCATTTCATGTTCCCAAAGTCACAGAATTCACTCCTATATTATTTTAATATCTTTCTTGTCGGCTACAATGTAGCATCATTTTGAAGCATATAACCAACTCACAGTGAGAGCTAGCCAGGCTAACGTGCAGCCACCACATGGCAGAGTTAGTTTTAACAATGAATCCACCCAGAATAAACAGTGAGAAGTCCATATTCCTGGTACATTTTTATGCACTGATTCATTAAAAACATGCTCTGGATGCCATTTAAATAAAGTGCGTTTCCATTTTATCACTACTAAAATACTTTGTGGTCTAAAATAAGTAACTCTTACAATGACAAACTGGAATGTTCAGTCAATTATTTTCATACACTCCTGAAAAAGATGGTTCTTCAAGGGATTCTTTAGTACAGAAAATACTTCTGTATAGAACCATGAACACTCATAGAACCCTTTGCATGATTAAAAGGTTTTTTGCATCATGAATGGGTTCTTCAGACTGATGCAAAATGTGCACAAATGTGCTAAAGATGGTTCTATATAGAACCCTTTTGAAAAGGAATCTATATAGCACCAAAAAGGGTTCTTCTGTTGTTACAAGCTTGACATCATAACAATAGAAGAACCTCTTTGGATGCTACATTTTCAAAAAGGTTCTATATAGAACCATCTACAGCACATTCTCCATCAATCTGAAGAACCCTTTCATGATGCAAAGAACCCCTTAATAATGCAAAGGGTTTTTTGAGCGGTCATAGTTTTATGTAGAACCATTTTATTTACTAGAGGAACCATCTTTTTTACACGTATATAATAAGCATAATTAAGGTACAGTGTCACTCAAAGCTAAAGGATTTCAGCCTAAAGTCTTAAGTCAAAAAAAGTTTTATAGTTATTATTTTTTGGTAAGAGCAATATGTAATCCATGTATGTTGAAGTAATAAGACGTGTTTCAACCAGGACTACTTTTTGAATGAGGCACAATACAGATCAACCAGTCAGAACAGAGCTCATTTACATATGTCAATTTAAAGGCACAGTAACAAAGTCTGTTTAATTTTAAGGGATGACAAGAGGCTGAAATAAAGTCAGGTAAAAAGTGAATCATGACTGTTTTTGGTACATAAACTCCTATAAACTTTGTGAGTGGAACTCGGTGGGCCCTTTAAAATTAGTTCTGAATTGTAGCAACGTAATTGAATCAAATGATGATGATTAAATTAAGTGATCCATTGAACTGGATCATTAGATCAGAGATTTATTTACATCCCTTTAAAGAGGGACTTGCCACATCAAAGAACAGTTTCTAATATTTTCTTTTCTGTCGTCCGTTCAAAGGTTGATGGTGACTGTCAAGACGATCGGCCTCTGAGCAGGACGTCATCTGTTAACTCAGAAACAGATGAGTGTCAGATTATGGCGGCACGTGAAAAGGCTGTAAGGGAACAGAACGCTGAAAATTGTAATGCAAAACAGCAGGCAGCACAAGCCCAAAGCACCTCGGGGCCTGAGGATGATGGTCCAGGTCCGAGTAATGCTGCAATACCTGCGACCTCCAGTGCCCACATGTTTATATTTGACCAGGAATCCCAAGAGGACCTCACCCACTCCTCTCAGAGCGAACCTCTCTCTCAGGACTTGTTGGAGACGAAGCAACACGTAGTTAACCTGATGCAGGAATCTAAGAAAGACTTGGTTGAGGTAATGAAGGCACTTCTAAAAGCCAGTGGCGATGTGGCTACGGCACGATTATATTTGCTTGAAGGCTATGATCCTAAAGTACACGGGCCCATCTGGACTAAGCATGATGATGAAATCCTCCTTTCAGCTGACTCCTCTAAGCTTGAGCGGCTTAATGAGAAGTATGGAGAAGATTGTGTCTTGAGGAGAGAAGCTTTTCTGAAGGCACAGTAAAATGGACATTAGCAAATACTCCAGCCTCGAGAGAAAATGACTGTAGAGAAATTGAAATATTATATTTTATATCATTGTATCATTTTAGATCTGCTCTGTTTTTCTTTTATTATCTGTAATGTTGAATGTAATACGTCATTTCATCTAAATCTGTTTGTAAACAGTGTAAACTTTTAATAATTTTTAATGAAACAAGCAAAATAAATCGTATGTCACTGTTTTATGTGATTGTGGCTGCACTACATATGATCTAAGCTCAGTCATGGAGATGATAACACCATGTTTGGTTCAGATTCTGGATATTGTTGCTGTTGCTCACATCACTTTAGCATTTTATTTTAGATGAAGAGGACCCCAAGAGGAGAAGAATTGCATGTAGACTCTTATGCTGATAGATGCTGGATGTGCTAATAAGTTCCACTGTCCATTTTACGCTGTACTGGACAGTAGATCTCGTGTTTAAGAGTTTTTGTTTCATTATCGTGTCCCCCTGCCAGAAAGTCTACTTTTTTAATGGTCATTCCATGAGATTGGTGCCAAATGGACATGATGTTTTTACATTTTTTCATGCAATCACAGTTTTTGGACCCCATAGTTTCGATTACATATTGCTCTTACCAAAAAATAATGATAATAAAAAATATTTTGACTTTGAGCGACCCTGTACCATAATAATGTTTTTTTTTTTTAATGAAAATAAATAATTGAACCTTCCATTTGTTTGTTAACAATCACAACACTACTGAAACTTTACCAAATGTTTCAGTTGTGACTGTTTCGGTAGTGACAATTTTAGCAGAATATAAAAAATGCCAGGCAGTACATGAGTAGAAAATAGCTTTGAACAGTTGCACACACAAAAAATCATAATATTTCTCATTAAAACACAAAAACGTTTTAGCAGAAAATGTGTTTTGGTAGTGACAATTCTTAGGACACCTTTTCCTCAGAAAAGTGGGATCTCTGCTCACCATGTGGCCATGAGGGACAGGGATGTAGTCTTACTTCCTGCTCTAAAATACAGGGGTGTGGCTAATGCTAGGCTCCACCCATTGAATAAAGCCATTTCAATAGTGACACGAAAACAGGCAGCATGCTTTGTATTTAGTAATATTTGAGATGGAACAATGACAGTTTATATGGAGAAAATGCCTGTATTCCTAAAAATATACACAAAATATATTTTCCCTGTGCAATAAAAACATACAGTGGTAAGCATCCTGCTTTTCCAGAAGGGATGATGAGTTTTGAGTGAATATCTTTAGGCTTAAGTAACATTCTTTAGCTGTTATATATCCTCTTATAAATGGCACTGAATATTGTGGACTCAAATGGCACTATTGTCATAGAATGACTCATAATAGATAATATAATCCAAGTTCAGAGTATATATGTACGACGCCCTGCTGGTGACATCCTGTATAAATAAAAATAATGTGACTTAGTAAGGCGTGGGAATGAGATGATTAAGTCGTGGCCACAACTTAGTAAAGCATAGGAACGAGATCCTAATGTGTGGCCACGACTTAATCATCTCATTCCCACGCCTTACTAAGTCGTGGCCGCGCATTAGGATCTCGTTCCCACATGTTAATAAGGCGTGGCCACGCATTATTTTTATTTATACAGGATGTCATCATCAGGGCTCCGTATATATGTGTGTAGGTCATTAGTTGTTCTGTTGTACACATATTTCAACTAACCATAGATTAGAACAATTGTACAAAGTTAATGATTAAATAAACATGAAATAACCATTATTTGCGTAATAAGGGTACTTATGCAAATTAATTTAAATAGATATTAAATAATGGGCCAGTTTCTTTTGCGTGGATTAAGCCTAATCTCGGACTAAAGTGTTTAGTTTAGGCTCCTCTTCTCTCCTCTTTAAGGTGTTTTTCTGACTGAACCTCTTCGATTTCTAAACGCGCGTTTCTCCGCGCGTGTCCCCCGCCTCGCTCCGTAGTTTTGAGCCGTTTATGAAGAGCTAGCCAGCAGCTACTGTTGACAAAATTCACGGGAGGGTTTTGGAAGGGGGGAGTCGTGTTATAGCAAAAAGAGGTACCGTACCGTTCTGCTGTGGACAGACCCCACGACTTAAACACCTTAGCTAATTCCGAGGAGTCTGCGGGTTAATTTCTGCACGCCTGGGTTCGCATGGAGCGCCTTTAATGAGGCTGTCTTCGCGGTTTGTGTCCAAGTGGAGCTGCGCTAACAGCGGCTTTCCTCTGCCTGTCAGACCGAGATTTCAGCACCAGACATGGGCATACGAGCCCAGATGTTTGCTAAAGTAACAGGCAGCGCGGTCGTTGACGGCGTTATTCAGCGTGTTTTGCTCGCCAGCTGTTGCCGGCTGTGTTGTGGAGCCTGACCGGCTGCTGTGTGTCTTGTCAACAGGGCCGTTAACTTACCTTTAGTGCCCCGTAACGCTGATAGTTGCCGGTTTTCCCACAGCTCAGCTAGAGACCCTAATATAGCTGCAGTCTAAGGTTGGAAAAGCTTTTAAGAGAGACGCTGGAATCGAGCTTAGGGGGGAAACTGTGTGTGAGGGGTCCGCAGGATTGCTTTAGCTAAGCAGGCTTTCCTAAAGTGACAGTGAGTGTCTTTTATTTCCATGATGTCCTTTCACTGAATTTCTGACTAGTACAGCTTCAGAGTTTAAACCAGACTTTAAAAAAGATGGTTCTTCAGTTCTGTTTAGAACCATGAGTTCTATTTAGAACCATTTCATGCTTAAATGGTTCTTTGCATGGTGAAATTATTCTTCAGATTGGTGGAGAATGTGTACACTCTTAAAAAACATGGTTCTTTAAGGGTTCTTTAGTAAAGAAAATGGTGCTATATAGAACCATGAATTCTCAAAAAACTCTTTGCATGATTAAAGGGTTCTTTGCACCACAAAAGGGCTCCTCACATTGTTGGGAGAATGTGCTGTAGATGATTCTATGTAGAAACTTTTTAAAAAGGCTTCTGTATAGCGCCGGAAATGGTTACAACGTCAAGCTTGTTATAATAGAAGAACCTTTTTTGGTGCTATATAGAACCGGTTTTAAAAAAGGTTCTATATAACCATCTGTAGCACATTCTCACCATCTGAAGGACACTTTTATGATGCAAAGAACCATTTCTGCATGCAAAGGGTTGTTTGAGTGTTCATGGTTCTATATAGAACCATTTTCTTTACTAAGAGCCAAAAAAAGGTTCTTCTATATCAAGCTTGACATTATTACAATAGCAGAATGCTTTTTGGTTCTATATAGAACCCATTATCAAGAAAGGTCTACATCATAGAATCATACACAACACATTCTCCACCATCTGAAGAATGCTTTTATGATGCAAAGAACCATTTATGCATGCAAAGGGTTCTTTGAGTGATCATGCTTCTATATAGAACCATTTTCTTTACTAAGATCCCTTAAAGAACCAGCTTTGTTAAGTGTGTAGTATATGGTTCTTTATAGCAGCAAAAAGTGTTCTTCTATCACAAGCTCGACATTATTACAATAGCAGAATGCTTTTTGGTTCTATGTAGAACCCATTATCATGAAAGGTCTACATCATAGAATCATATGCAACACATTCTCCACCATCTGAAGAACAATTTCACTATGAACTGAACCGCTTAAGCTTCACATGGTTCTATATGGAACTCATGGTTCAACATAGAACCATTTCTTTACTAAAGAAGTCTTGGAGAACCATCTTTTTTTAAGAATGTACTGCAAATTTCACAGTGTTTCGCAACCAAAATCTTTAGAAAGTAAGTTTATCACTCCATCTCAGCTCAAAGCACACCTGTGCCAGGTAGTCATCACTCTTGCCTGCTTGTTTCTGCTGTGTTTAAAGCTGATATGGAGCAAATATTCATGCAGTTTCATGCAGTTTAAAAGCATTTCGCTTTGGGAAGCCGCATCAAAACAACATTGCAGACCTTTTACGTTATGTTTCAGCTTAAGGCCAATTTGAGCATCTCCATCATCTTTCCCAGCCCTAAAAACTGAATTGTGTAACATCGAGCTACTATCATTCATGTTAAGCTGATATTATCTCAAGAAGAAAGTTGTAGTACAAGCTGTACCTCCTCAGGAATTTGATTGCTGTATCTGGGTCAGTTGGCCAGTATCTGAGTGGTATGGCACAAATGTTTGGCTCTTGCTAATGTCGTCTTTTTCTGTCCATTTTTACTGGATGATCTCAGTGGCTTTATCTTAATTAGATTTGTCTGATAGTTATCGCTTGTTTCCCCTAAATCACCTCAGTAATGCCAGTGTGTTTGTATTTGTCTGTCTATGTGTGTGCAGTGCCGTGTGTGATTTGTGTAATGTGTCTGTGTTTCATAGAGCTGTGTCCCAGTCTAACGTGGCAGCATGAGTTCAAAGGGGGGCGGTACTGCCCTGTCCCGACGAAACTACCGCTTGGCCTCTGACACAGAGAAGCCTAAAGTCACCGGTAAGAGAAATGGTGCAAGTTCTTATACTGTGATGTCTGGGTTGGGTCATGTCCTCTAATATATGGTTCAGATTTCAACAGATGTGATATTTGCTCTGTTCATTGATACACTATTCATTGAAATGCTTTGAAAAGAAGTTTGTTAGTGTAAAAAAAAACATTGATTAAAGTTGCATCAGTATTGAGACTGTGAATAGACACTATCTGGCCCAGCGGTCATCAGTTCTGGTCGTGGAGGGTGATTTTCCAGCTCAAACACACCTATTAAGCCTAGCAATTAACGTGTGAGTTGAACCAGGCGTGTTTGAAGAGTGAAAGCATCAAAATATGCTGGACTGGAACTGATGTCCAGAGGTTTGGGCTTTGTTGTTTTGTTACAATGTCTAAAATCCATGCATAATATCATATTTCATATCTCACTAATGATATATGATTACAACTCTACTCAGAAACGTGTACAAACTAACAATTAACCTTTTTGTTATGTTTTTTTTTTGTGAAGTCAGGTATACTAGAAGCTTATCATGTGTTAGTAATAATTATGTAATAAAAATGGTCAAAAGTAACATTTTTGAAATGTCTTATCTCAGGTATTGTCAATGAGAAGCTGTTGAGTGACTACCTACACCATGTGTTTCCTGCCTCCAGTAAGCACGGACCAGCATCTGCAACATACAGGTTGGATTTCGAAGTGCTTCTGACTGATTTCGCCACTCTAATATTTCTAGGCGTACTTTATGGGGGTAACGTGCTCCCACCTTCCCACTTTTTCAGATGGCTGTATTTGTCCTCCTCACTTTAACATTCAGAGAGGAAAAAAAGGGGCAGAGAAAATATGTGTTTACTCCAAAATGGCACACAAGATAGTAATCTGATGTAGTTCTGACATTGTAAGGGATAAAATATACAGCAACACACAGATGCTGTTTCAGTGGCAACTCTATGCGACTGTTATTTGCACTGTTGTCCAGCTTTCTTACACTCATTGGACTCACGTAGATTAAGGAAGACAGAGTAATCTTCTATTTTCAAAAGAATGTTACAGTAGTGGTACAGATCCGTTATTAATATATTGTTGCAAAAAGCTTGTATCTTCATTTTTGTGTTTTTTTAATTTTTGGTAATTGAAAAGTCCTGTTACCCTTGCATTGTGTTAAAATTTCATGAGGAACAGACCAACTGAATTGGTCCAAAATTACATAGAAAAAAACATTTTTTACATTAATTTTTTACATTTTTACATTTTACTTTTCATTGAGTTCCATTATAAGTGAAGAATGTTTTTCCTTGTCCTGTAAAGTTACCATTTTGTATATATTATGGTCTGTTTCCTAATATATACAGTATATCACTGCTGTCAGACCAAAACCTTGTATCTCCAAGTATGTTTTTTACTTCTCCTGTAAAGTTGCCATTTTTAGAGGTATTAGGGTCTGGTCCTTAATATATACAGTATATAGTAGTCATAAATTATAAGTGCCATGGCATCATATCCAGTGTGTATATTTAACCTTACTAGCTAAGGCTAATAACAAGCCAACCCTGTTTATAGCCAGCTAATATTATTTAGCTTGCTAACTAGCACGTTGACAAGGGCACTGAAAGAGTGAGTGGGTAACTTTAGAGACTTTATAACAATATTGCTAGTAACTATTGTTTTTTGGTAGATACGGTAGGCTAATGGCCAGTAACAGCTCATTAAATTATATATCTGTAACATAAAGCTGTTTTTCAGAATTATATTCTGTTTAACACAAAAAGCGGGCAGTGCAATGCAGCTCTGTCAGGAAAGAGTGTAGATTACATGTGGAATAGTAGGTGACATTTTGCCACTGTTTTATCTGTTTGAATGGAGCTGTTTACAGTGCACACCATAAAACAAGCTGCCCCTGAGTGTTGTTCTGTTTGCTATGATAAGGTTAAACTTCACTTAAACACAAGCATGAAAGGCGGTGTGCAAAGGCTTGGATTGAGTTTTGTTTGAAAATGATAAGGCGCTTGTAATGTAACAATAAAAGCACTGCTTTACACATTACGACCACGGTTCTTAAACTAGGGGTCGTAAAAAGGGCCGCAGAAAAATCTCAGAAGTTGTGTTTCTGCTTAGTATGTTTTAATTGTGTTGGTTTGTTAAATCTTTATCATAAAAATGTTGCTTTTTACTTGTTTAAAAATGTTATATTCTTGAATGTAGTTGATTAATAAATGAATAACCTGCCAGCCAGTTACAATACAAGGCCATACCGCACCCCATAATGAGTTACCTGTAATGTCATAGAACAGAGCCATGTCCCTTGTATGTGCAGATCCACGATAGCTGCTGAATAAGCTAGTAAAATGTACAAGGTTCTGTAAAGACACAGTCATTGTTTGTTAAATGAAGGTAATAACTAGGGGCGAGGGGGCCGGAGACTTCAGCAACACTTACTTTCTACAGAATAGGCCTTAAAAATCTTTGAACTGCTGAATTACAACTATGTAACACATGTTTAACAAGAAAAGAATAGCAGCTAGGTGAATTGATAATGAAAGCATAGACCTTTATGAGGATGGATTATACTGACCTACTGCTACTGTTAAACGTGAACTGGGGCGGGGGTTCTTGTGTCCCACCCGAGTAAGCCAGGGGCACTGTTCCCATGTCCACAGCCAGTCTCAGGTTACTGTTGCAGCTCTATAGATAGAGTGTGATGGGGGGATGAAGAAAGCTGACCCTCAGAAACAGAGGTGACCTATGATGAGCATAGCTCTGTGAAACTAGCCTTGCACTTACTTCCGTTGTAAAACAGTCAGAGATGAGATGGTTACTGGTGTTAATGATATACAGCAGGATAAAATCCAGTGATAATAATAGTTTTAAATATGAAGATTTCAGATAACGACATACCGTCTTTGCTGTGGTGCTAGTTTTCCAGCTCAGCACATTTACATGGTCAAAATCTGAACAGTACAGACCAGCAGTGCTGATAATTTAATATTGATTTAAAATTATAGTTGACCTTTTCGTATCATAAAGACATAGAAGAATTTCACTGTAAATTACGTAGAAAAATATTAATAATAAATATTATAACATATATATATATATATATATATAGTGTGTGTGGTGTGTATATATATATATATATATAAAGGACCGAAATATGTGTTTTTTCCCTAATTAGGTTAATCTTGTCATTGCAGGCAAACAGTAAACAAATAAACTGGCCAATAACCAATAAACTGGGTGGTCCTAATCTTGGGTAATGCTTCCGTAAGCATTCTCTTTACCAATCACAAGCCTGACATCTCTTGTTAAAAGAGATGTTAAAATTTTTATTTTGTGTGTCAAGTAGGGCTGGATTATATTGTTTAAAATGTTTCTTGAAAAAAAAATATTTTTCAACCTTTTGATTAAAAAAATCTTGATATTGATGCATTCCTTCTGAAATGCCTTAAAAGAGTGATTAAAAACTGCCTTTTTAAAATGCTTTGAGACGTAAACCAGTCTTTGCCAGGTAGATGCAAAATGTTAATAAGACAGGAAAAAAAAAACAACAGAACTACTCAAGATCTGCTTTCCTTTACCAAATGAACACAGAAGAATGCTTTGACATTTTTTATACTAAATAAGCAGTACTGTGGTATCTGTTGTGGACAGCAGATGTGTCTTTAGATATTTGTAGCAGACAGTCGTACCCAACGGAGTCTAATATGGTAGACAAGTGCAGCATTGTGAGTCTTGCCTGTATTGCGATGGTGATATTCACTGTGCTGTCTGACCACTTGTTGTATTAACGTTTAAGGCTTCCATTTAGCTAATGGAATTAATGAGCTCATACTAGTGAGACAAGGAGGACTCGTGACTGAAATGGTCTTCAGGAAACTCAGTGAGACTGCGTGCATAATGAGATGCCCTGTGTGATCAATATCACCATGATATTGATGATGTCGACAAATTTCTATCTTCAACAAACGTTTCTTGAATATACACGCTGGCTGAACAGTTCGACATCCTAAACAAATTCTCTCAGCCTTTGTGGAATACTCTTCTTGTAAAAGTACTGTGTCTGCGTTCAACTACTGTGGCTGCATGGTTGCTCAAGGCTACATTTATTGTGCAGTCGGTGGGGAGAAGTGACAAAACTTTTCAGTCAAACGTGGGCGTTTGGGGTCATCTTATAAGAAAAGCATGCATTACATGAAAACCTAACAAGATTTTTTTTCCCCCCACAGAAAAACGTTGAACTTCCAGGACCTCGGGGCCCACTTGGAGAGGCTGTTGTCTGAAGATGAGCCTGCTGAGGATGGCACGGGTCAGTTAACGCACCTCTTTGGCAATACGAGGGCTTATGCCCTATATAGTTTATTCTCACTTCTTAATCTGTCAAAACAATTGAGTGCATAACATAGAAATTCTACAGTAATATAGAGCAATTTTGCTTCTAAGTAAATGATATGTTCACAATTTTTCACATGAATGATAGTGATGCACAGAAATATCCGTATTACTTATGAGCATTGTGTAGCTTTCAGTGACAGTATGATAAATCTTAGTATGATAAGGCTTAGTTAGCCCCTATTTCATCACCAGTGTTTGAACTGGAGGAAAATTGCTCCATATTTTCAAATCTGAACGGCTGAGCTCAATATATTATTCTTCACATTTATGCATGTAGATTTAAGATTTCATCTGAAATGTGTGTATGGACTAACCATAGAAATAATAATCTCAGGTCAGAATGTTAGTTGATGTGCATCTCTAACATCAACATCATAATGGCATCAGCTGCTGGTATGTTAAGCCCACTCGAGATGGTTTTAGGTGCTGTAATTTGAGTGAATTCCAACAAGATCTGTGATTTTAATCCAGTACAAATCTGAAATGCCTGTAGTTTTCACAAGTCTACTAAGCAGTAATTTTGGAGCACGTCGATGAGTCATTAAACCTGGAGCTCCTCGGTAATAGCAGTTCCCTCACAGTAATGTAGTAACACAACCTGTGAGTGTAACAGGCCACAGCAGCTCTTTCTTTTCGCAAGCATGAGTCAAGCCTAACCACTAAAATAAATCTTGACTTGGCACAGTTTTTTCTGTGCTCAAGTTCAGAATAGGACTTGTAATCTGTAATTTACAACCTAATTAGAAGGAGAAAGAAAAGTGAAAACTCTTAAAAGTAACTCTCACAGGCCAGAGTGATTTTTATCTGTTGGACAGCATGTGGTGAGTTAAATGAGCCCAATTAGCTCGATTATGACATTAACCAAAAATCTATTTTTCTGGTTTGTTTGCTTGCAATTAATTTTAATCTATCGCTGACAGAAACAGCTAGGCTATGAGGTTTGGGGAGATGGCACAGATGCTTCATTGCATGCAAATGGTAAAACTAATTCAGCTTGAATGGGACTTTAGCATTCCAGCTATAGGTTTTTTATATTAGGATGCTTGTGAACAACTGAACAGGCTTTACTCTGACTGAAAACACAGATGAAGAAATAACCAACACATGCTTGTGATAATAATGTTAGAAATGTTTCAGTAGACTTCTTGTCTTTGTCTTCCTCTACAGATCAAGTGGAGGGCCGACTCGGACCTTCTACTGTTGTCCTAGACCACACCAGTGGATTTGAAGGCCTGTTGTTTGTAGATGATGATCTCTTGGGGGTAAGAATATTTAGTTGACAGTAATTCAGTAATTACAGTACTGCAATTTTGTATTTTATATTAGATTTAGGAGTGCCATGATTATTAAAAATGGTTTAAGTATACTATTTTGATGAATTGACCGTGATTAGTTGCCAATGTTCATGATGATAATGCATTTCATAGTAGCTTCTACGAGCTTGTTGTGCTCACCCGTTGATGTGCATTTTGTGGCACGTAGTGTTTATTTTGTTGTTTTTGCTTTGCATGGTTTGTTATTATCCATGTCATTGTTTGCCTTTTATAAACACTTAAATTACTCAGTCATCAAAATAATGGATTGATTACTCTGATACTTACATATTCAATAATGACAACTCTAACAGAAATGGCTAGATAGGTTGAAGTGTTTTATATATTTATTTATTTTTTTTTAAATCAAGGTCATTGGCCATAGCAATTTCAGCTCAATAAGGGCTACTACCTGTGTATACAAAGGTAATTTTGTAATTTTATCTCTATTTTCAATAATACATCTTATTCAGATTATGCTCTGTTTCTGTAATGGAATCATATAATGAACACTGTATGATAAAGTCTACATGTTTTTAAACGATTTTGAAACACTTACAGGGAAATGGGTGTATGAGGTGCTCATCTCGTCTGAAGGGTTGATGCAAATAGGGTGGTGCACATTGAACTGCAGGTTCAACCAGGAGGTATGTAGTCATATTTGTGTATGAATTTTTATGTTTTTTCATTTTGTCTAGTTTTTATTCTGTTAGTTCTGAAGATTTTGGCACAGCTGTGGTCCCTCATATGCTGGAAGCCTATAAGCTACCACCTAGCAGCCAAGAAATACCACGCAACATTGGGTAGCAGATAAGAAAGCGCAGCTAAAGCACATAGTTAGGCCAGTGGGTGTTCTGGGTCTGAGCTCAAAGCTTTATTGAGCATCATTTAGTGAGTTTCTCACATTTGGTATCAGCTGATTAACTCTTCGTGAACTCCTTTTTAGCTTAAATATATGAGGTAAAATAAAACTTACAACCCTACTATTGCATTGTTAACTGAGTAGTTTCTTTTGAAATATTAAATGTCTTTATTCTCATCTACTATTGATTATTGTGATCTCACATTAGACTGGTCTCATATTGTGTGCTGTAAACATCACAATTCCAGATGAGTTTCTGTGGGTGTTTTAGTGAATCAAGACATTTATGTGATTCACAACATAAATAATTTTGGTCAGAATAATGCACGCTATTCTTTAATCATGTCCCATTTAAGGTTCACTAATTAGTTTTTTAATATATTGCAAGGAATATCGCAATAAGTAGTGATATATATGATGTGATATAGTGATATATTTCTTTTCCATGCTGTTCAGCTTTTGTGGTGGGTCATAATAGTTGTCATGCTAAAATACATCACAATAATACTTTCTTGAGTGTATCGTGTCTGTTGTATTGTCAGTACCTCTAAAATACCAAACAACTACATGGATCTTAAGAAAGACAAATTTAGGCCAGTTATAGAAAGGCTGTAACAAAAAACACTGTATAGCAACTGCATGAAGTGTATAGTAAGTAGTAGCTGTACTGGATGGCAGACCATTTTGATTTTGTCTTAGTAATTGATTTTTAGCTGTTGTTTACCTGTTTTTCAAATATTTTATTTTTGCAAATGTTGAATTACTATTGTACACTTGCCTTGGTCAAAGTATGACTCTGCTGTTTTGCTGATGCATTTTGTCTGTTCCAACTTGACAGTCGCATGATGATACATCAAGTATCAAAAAATGTTTTCAAGTATCGTGATCTTCCATTGTACCTTATCACTCACCCGTACTAAACTTCTTCTTCAGGAAGGAGTTGGGGACACTCCAGACTCGTATGCCTATGATGGCAACAGAGTTAGGAAATGGAATGTGACAACCACCAACTATGGAAAGGTGAGAACACACATCGCTTTATGTATTTATCTCTGTGGTTTCCTTTATATGATCTGTTTCGACAGTTTTGTGAAAGTGAAGTGAGACACTGGAGTTTTATTGTACTCAAGTGTTCAACATTGTTTGTTCTCCCTCCAGTCCTGGGCTGCAGGGGACATTGTTAGCTGTATGATAGACCTTGATGAAGGGACAATTACTTTTTGCCTGTAAGTATGCTGAGTGTACTCTACATTTGATGTTTTGATTTTATTTAACTACATTTGGGTTTTTGATGTTATATAACAGAATAAAAAACCTCCTAGCATCAATGCTGTATGAGACATTTGAACACAGCCTCTGTACATATCAAGAATGTATTGATTAGTATATGTAAAGTTTATTGGAGTTGCATGTTTCAGTCCCTCCACATTTCTGTGGAATTCCTCTCACTTTTTGACCCTCAGGAATGGACAGTCTCTCGGTACGGCTTTCAGTAATATCAAGATGGGTCCAGGTGTAGCGTACTTTCCTGCTATCAGTCTCTCGTTTAAAGAGTCTGTGGCCTTCAACTTTGGCAGCCGCCCTCTCAGATATCCTTTTCACTTCTACGTTACTTACTCTATTCAATGTTAAAGCGCTTGTTTAGCCATAAATGTAATTTGGCACAATCTTACCCCAAAGCTAGGCCTGTTTGGTGTCTGAGATCTGTGTCTTATTTGTTTGGACAAAATTCATGCTTGCCTGCTGCTACTGCTTTTAGCTATGGAGCCTACATTTGTCCATTTTTATTGAAAACAGTATGTCATACATTGTCAGACAACAAAATGGTTCTACTGCAACTTAACTCAATGTGGTTTGAGGCATGTAGGTGATAACTTAGTCATGCAGTTTGCATGATGCCAGCTGATAGCTATGAACTTGTTGGCTACATTTGCCTTGTAGCTCTAGTGCAAAAATAGAGAAGTAAGCTTCAGACACTGAAGATGTCTTGGCTGATGAACTCCATTTAGGGTAAGAGGAAAATTGTATAAATTAGATTTTTCATTGTTTTGGTGTCAAAGTGTAGCTTTAAGTGCAGGTCCACTCTTTAGCGTTCCTTAACCATGCAGTTCTTCACGTACCCTGTGGAAGGCTATCTTCCTCTTCAGGATCCACCAACTGCTGACCTCATCAAAGCCAACAGGCTGCTGGGCTATATGAAGACTGTGCTGTCCACTTGTATAGACACACAGGTACATCTGAACCTTTCGAAATGCTGCCATGTTCATGTCATTCTTCTTAATTTTCTATGAAGCAAACAAACACTCTGGAATGCAATTTTTCTGATAATTGTGTATTTCCTGTTTTGTAAGGAGGAGAAACTCACTGAAAAAGACATTGGCTCTTGGCAACTTAAAGGGGAGCCCACTGTCCTGGTCACTCTAGCACATATCTTCAATTACTTCGCTCCTCTTATGGTTAGTACGTCGTGGAAGCTGTCAGTCAGTCACATATGTTAGGCGCCCAGTTTAATGGAATCTGGCATTTCTTAGAAAACAGTGGTCAGAGCTGTTTTTCCCTTTGTTATTGTGAACGTGTGCGTGTAGTGTAAGATGCACGCAAATGACCTCCTGTAGGCTTTCACAAGGCATAGAGCTGCATAATTGGTTTTGGATTCAAGCACATTGACAAACACAAGCATAAAAGCAGTTCAAAGTTCAAAGTCATTGACTGATTTATGAATGAGTATTTCATTATGTTTAAAAATGAAATGTAGCATAATATTGTGATCCATCCATTAGCTTTATAGCTAATATTCTTACTGTATTATTTTCAGTTCTCTGTATTTCTCGGCCTGAGAGGGAAGAAAGCAAGCGATGGATACTATAGCGAAAAATCACTATCTACAACATTCAGACGAGCATGGAACAGTAAAATAGTCCCAGATGAGTTATTAGATAAGATGTATTCTGTTCAGATCTTGCCATAATATGAAAGTTATGACAAGTCTGCTGGAGAACATTGTGTCATTGCATTAGCTGTATATTAGAGTTTCTCAAAGAAATCTCTTTTTATGCTCTGCGCTATTGGAAGAAAAGTTTTGCACCATATATATCTTGCTTTACAAGCACATTGTTCCCAAGAAACACCAAATTGTTTCATTAAAAAGTGATGTTTTACTGAAAAGTGTAAGACATGGAGCCTCCTGACTTCTGTTCCACCATTACATTTCTTAGGCGAACTCATCCAGTTTGCACTGTTTTCTATGTAATTACTGAATAACAAGACTAAACAAGAATAAACAAGAGTTTAGGGGTTAAGACAAAAACAAACTTCCAGATGTCTTAAAAGCTTAAATTTGTGTGTTCCAGTGTAAAGTGTACCTGGTAGAAGATGTACTGATGAGCTTCCTGCTGGGCATTTTGGAGGGGGGTGGCTCTGTTGATGAGCATCCTCTAATCCAGCAACTACTAGACCTCTTCTGGCTGCTCATGGAGGTGAGCGTAATGTTTTTATAACACTTGCCCAAGACAGCTATGAATCATCATTTGTCAGATAACATACACATAACACAAAGATCTTACATTGTCTACTGGTTATTTATTTGAAAACCTCACAAAAACAACTAAATAACCGTCATGTCATTTCTGCTTCTTTTATGTATATCAGAAGAGGCATTTGTAGCTGATTGTTGTAGTGATATGCTTCAAAACAATAGAAGCACAGATTATATAGATTATTTTATAATAAGATTTTTATGTTTATTAGCATGCCATCTAAAGTCTTTCTCTGCCTTAGCAATAGATTTTGTATGAATTTGGCAGCATTCGTGTTAACATTTACAGCAATTTTGATCTTTCAGTTTTCAATCCAAATGTCATAAACACGTTTTTAGAGATTCAGAATGTCTTTTAGTAGTCAAGAAAATCTAGACATCAGTACCATACTTATTTGTTAGTTTGTGCATGCATAGTAAGTTAGAAATTCACATTATGGAGCATGATTAACATAAAACAAATTTGCAAAACAACTTTTCCCACTGGCAGTTTTTCCATTGCTGACTCATTTGAATTTAAAGAGGATGGTCATTATACAAATCTCCTTTTTTTGTCTTTTATTTAAATATTAAGCAATTGAAAATCTCAAGGCAGGTTATTGAAAATAAACCTGTCTGTAAGGATGTACAAATAATGTTATATACACACATTACCCACATTATTCAAATTATATAACATGAACAGCTAGTTGTTGAACAAAATGTATGGTTTGTTAAACAATAAATATAATACATTATGATGTCATATGTAATAATTATACTTCCCAAATAAGTGTCCTTCTCAAAGTAAATGGTAGGTGTTACAGTGTACATACAAACATGCGTTTTATACATACCCATGAGAAAAGCTGTTAGAAAATATATTTAATAATAATACTAGTACTACTACTACTAATAGTAAATAGACAAACATAAGTAAATAAATAGGTAAAGCAACAGTAGGTGCTATAGTGTACACACAAACATGCGTTTTATACATATGTACCCATAGGAAAATACTGATTTAAAAAATAAATGATAATAAACAATTATAAGTAAGTAGGTAAGACAATGAAGGGGGAAAAAACACTCTCCAAGGTAATAAATATATTTTTTTGTGAAACATTTGTCTCCCCAAAAATATTCATAAATGGACCTCATGCCTTCTAGAAAAGTTCAGGCTTCTATCTAACCTCAAACCTCTGGTTACCAGTTAGAGATCATACAGTAATTTCCAGATCCTTTGATGATGTGATGGTGGAGGTGCCAACTTCCAATTCAAGAGTATAAGTCAACCCAAAAGAGTAATGAGTGCTAGGTTAGTATTTTCTGATCATTGTAGAACTGTCTTTTGTCTTCCTCTGTCTGGAAGGACTTTGAGGTGAACGAGTGCCTGAAGCAGTTGATGATGTCATTGCTGAGGGCCTATCGCTTCTCTCCTATCATACCTGACCTGGGCTTCCAGGTAAGAGGGACTGAGCCCCCTGGCCTAAAACAAAATCACTTATATCTTCTCTTCACTGCCCCGCCCCATGTAAAGTTTCAGATTAGAGTGAGAAGGCCTGGGATTTGGGTATGGGAACTAAGTCAGTTAAACATCTCACACTTTCTCACTAGAATTTGCAAAAAAATACACCCAGTATTTTCTCATTTTAAGTTTTGAGTCTCAACTTTGGGGTACTGAAAAATATAAGGTGATCAAGGATATGGAAAATGTATTGCTATTTAGTAAAATTTTTTGAATTCTGAATATGCCATTTACGTGAATCATGTGAATTTTAAGAGTTTTTAATTTTAGAAAGATGGCAATGGAGGTCTATTGCAAGTAGACAGAGAGAGAGCTCTGAAGTAGACTCTGAAGTAAACACAGAAGAGCAGCAGTTTGTGATCATTATTATTCAGCCAACCCACGGAAAGTGTTTGATTTTTATGGGCTAAGAACTACGATAATATTACTGAGAGCAAAGTTTTCTGAGCAGTGAATTTGGTTTAATTTTCAAATATTTGGTTTTCTTTATTTAATAGCTTTTGGACGGTGGGGAAAAAGTTAATATGTGTCAGTTATCATTTTGAGCAAGCCAGACAGTCAGCTTCTATTTAGTTTAGCTCTGAAGTTGATGTAGAACTTCGTTTTTTGTGAGCTACTGAAACTGCTATGAAAGTTGTATCACTGTCTACAATTTTCACTGCAGGTGGCAACTGTCGGGGTCCAAGCACTGTACCTTATAGAGCAAGTAGAACACAGATGATATCGATTTGTATTAAATATGGGGCCTCGAATGCAAGTGTCTGACAAATTGTGTACACACTGATTTGAATAAATCAAAAACCCTGGAAAGCAGTATATTGTTTAGACATGACCTACGTTTTTGTAGCTGTTGAACCCATGTGCAATTTCATATTAAGATAGGAGAAAAACTCCTATGAATAATGCCGCTGGACCCCTTTACCGGGGGTTGGTTTCTAAACTTGCCACCTTTTTCACTGGTCAAGAGTTTTCATGTCTGAAACCAGTTGTCTGCTTGAATTTTCAACCAAAGCACCTGTGACCTGTGTAGCAGGTCTCTTCACTGATGTGTCAGGGGTCAGGAGTGCATGTCTTTCTGTTCACATTGGCTGAGAATGTTTAATGGTTGAGCTATGTGTAGTAGTAAATGGATTTCTTTTCAAAGCCCAGCCTCTCAGAGAGCATTCTGTGAATGTATGTATCAGATAGCACATGCTTAGCAAGCGCCTTTTAGTTAATCACATTAGGGATGTTGTTGAAGGTTGTTTGGTCAGCATTGTAGCTCCAGTCAACTGTATAGCACTTAGTGCATGTATATAAATCCTTCTGAAGTTAATATATTAATGGATGCTATTGAAATAAAACTGTAACATTACTTAAATGCATGTTTTAGAGGGGGACTCCACTTTCAGGGTGGTTTGATGTGAACTGGTTCATTGCAAAGAAGCTTATGTTTTTTTACTATGATGGTGATTCATGTAGTAATATATTTTATTAAATGTGTTTTAGGCCAAAATGTTATCTCAAACTATGTCTCAGACATCGTGCAACATAGTTGTAGCAGTTTCTTGCAACAACTATTTATAAAATAGCAGTAAAAGCTTCAGTCACTGCTGTTGTGAACGATTCAGACTCAGTGAGTTTCTCTAAAATGGAGAACTTCATGTCAGACCACTCTGAGCTTACTTTGTTTATATTTTAATTGCGTTTACATGTTCATCTTTACGTGCAATTTTAAGATGGTCATTCCACATCCAGGATGTCCTTTTTTTCAAAGCAGACTTCAATATTATACACTCATTTTCACTTTTGTATGTCTTTTAGATTCACTACCTTCGCTTGACCACTGCCATCCTTCGCCATGAGAAGTCCAGAAAATACCTCCTCAATAATGTGTTATATCCTTTCCATAGCTCTGCCTCAGACATACAATATCATTAAAAATCTGCTTCTTAGTAGCACACACGGTTCAAGGAACAAAAAGTACTTATTGGTAAAAGAGCACATAAAAAAACTTTTTGACCATTATTCAACAGAGTTAGTCACTTAAGTAAAATGACTAATCTTCATTAATGGGCTCAAAAACTTTAACATAAAAACTAGTCATAAAATGTGTCATAAGATAAAGTGTCATGACACTCAAGACATAATGAACACCTTTTGATTTAAGAACACTGTGAATATGAGTTAAAGTAGTACGATTATAAAGCACGGTCCATGATAAATCAATGCAAATGGAGTCTTAGGAAACAATATGAGCTTTAAGTGCTCCCTCAATTTTTCTTCTTTCAATCGCCAAGCTGTCTGAAAGGCCCTTAACAGCATTACGTTTGATGTCCTGCGTTCCGTGGTGTTCTTCTACATTAAGACGCCTCTGAGGGTCAAGGAGGCCGGGCTGGAGGAGCTCATCCCCACCACGTGGTGGCCTACACGTTTCGACAAAGAGGTGAGTGCTCAGACACAGCAGGGATCGTCTTCCTGCAAGTTTATGCAGATATCCAGACTTTTACAAAGATGTTACAAGCCTTCACTCACAATTGTATGTAGTTTTGTATGAATACTGTTTAAGCACTTTGTGAAGTTGTTTTGTGTGTCTTAAATGCTGTAGTGAAGGCAAGGCAAGGTTATTTATATAGCACCTTTCATACACAAAGGCAGTTGCTTTACATAAATGAAAGCAAAAAGGAATGTCAAACGGAAAAATAAAAATAAAATGATTAAGAGTGGAAAACAATAAAAATAAAGTGCTTAAAAATACAAAGTGCAGTAGCTTTGAGAAATAAAACATACTTAAATGGAAGAACAAAGTAAATAAAAGCAAAATCAAAGGAAATGAAAAACAAAGGGCTGAAGGGTTATTCAAATTATTTATTAAATGTAGTAAGTGCAGTAAGAATAAAGTGCAAGTGTTAGAGCTGAATTATAGGCACATGGATTTAAAAAATGCTACATTGGAAGCGCTGAAATCAAGTCAAAGATCATCTGGGAGTTTGTTCCAGTTGTATACAGCATTTTTCCACTCTAGGCTCTAGTATCCTGTATCCATGGATCTAAAGACCCACATGTAAAACATACGTGTCAATAAATGTGAAAAAACTTTTTTTTGAATGAAATCATTAACCACTGTCTACTTGAGATACCCTAGAGACCATAAGTATGGAAGCAAGCTGTGATTTATTTTTGTTTATAAAAATATTTTACATTTAAGTCGATTTGCCATTAGCCAACTCAAAATTTTCTTTGCATGTTTATTATTTCATTAGAGGGTGAGAGGGCGAGATGGCAAAAACATAATATTTTTGCATTTCCACAAACAACATGTGTCGTTATATTTAGATTTTGCTGAGGTTTAATAAGACAAAAATGTCCCAGTGGCATGACATTTCTGAGCCGATGCCAATATCCGAGTATGTTTTCGGTCATGGTGCACGTCAGCATCTGTACTGTCCGCACAATCTGCCTGTTTAACAGTTCACTCTTTACAGACACTCATATCGTTCCTGCAGCATGAGTTGCTGTTAAAAATGGCAGACAAGCAATAAAAACAGAGGAGAAATGCATTTAATTTTGGCACGCGGATCACTAAACATGTTTTTGGCCAAGCATCAATGACCTTTGTTAAGTTCAAATTGGTAAATCGGTATCAAGTTAGCTGGTATCAAGGTTTATTATTATCTCTATGATTTTTAATCACGTAGACATTAAGTAAAAATAGAGAAATTTTTTCCGTTTTCATGTTTGTGAATGTGAGAGGAACAGAGTGTTTGTATCCCTGCAAAATTTCTGACCAATAAGCAAAAACCCATATATGTATTTTTGGTCCACTTTAGCCATCACCATCAGTACACCTCTTTTATCAGTTCCATTTGCCATATAGGTGCACTTTGTATTTCTAAAATTACAGACTGTAGTCCATTTGTTTCTCTGCATGCTTTGTTAGCCCCTTTTCGCCCTGTTTTTAGTGGTCAGGACCCCCCACAGGACCACCACAGAGCAGGTATTATTTGGGTGGTGGATCATTCTCAGCACTGCAGTGACACTGATGTGGTAGTGGTGTGTTAATGTGCCTTGTCCTGTGACAACTGATGAAGGACTAGAGGATGACTAACGCAAACTGCAGCAAAACATGAGCTACTGTCTCTGACTTTACATCTACAAGGTGGACCAAGAAGGTAGGCGTGTCTAATAGAGTGGACAGTGAGTGGACACGGTGTTAAAAACTCCAGCAGTACTGCTTTGTCTGATCCACTCGTACCAGCGCAACACACACTAACACACCACCGCCACCCAAGTAATACTTACTCTGTGGTGGTCCTGACTATTGAGGACCAGGGTGAAAGGAGGGCTAACCACGTATGCAGAGCAACAGATGGACTACAGTCTGTAACTGTGGAACTACAAAGTACACCTATATAGTAAGTGGAGCTGATACAATGAACAGTGAGTGTAAGTGCAAGGAAGTGGCCGGCCAGTGTACACACTGAATCTTTCCTGCTGTACTTTTTAAATAAATGTGTTAATTACTATTGTATGCAAAAGTTTGGGCGCCCCGGTTAAAATGACATTTTGTTGATTTTCTAATTGAAAATAAGTGACAAATGTGATCTGTGATATTATCTGTTCCTAGGGTAAGGATGAGAAGGACCTGAGGAATGAGACTGCTGAGGAGAGGATGAGGCGGCGGGCATATGAGCGTGGCTGTCAGAGACTCAAAAAGCGGATTGAGGGTATCAAACACACATACACACGACCCCATTAATCTTCAGCAGCAGCTTACAGCAGGATTCTTATCGTTCACTGACTCCGTCCTGCCCTCTGTGTGTGCGTGTTTGTGTGTGTAGTTGTGGAGGAGCTGCAGGTTCAGATCCTGAGGCTGATGCTAAATAACAAGGACAAAGGGACGGTATGTTGGGCCAGTGGCCAGGTTTATGACACTTCACTGGCGTCAGCACTCACAGCTGCACTTTTTATGGAGCATCTTCTCTCTGTCCCCACTGACATTGTGCAAGAAAAGCGTTATTTACATATAGCTGTTAATTTTATTTCCCTTTTCTTCATAATGCTTAGAAGTCACAGTTATCGTCAAAACAAACACACAGTGTGATTCAAAAAGATTCATGCGATTTCAAAATGATTTATTTCACATGTAAATCATTACAGAACAGTGCAGTAAATTGTAGATGGTTTAAGTGAGCATAAAGTTTATTATGTAATTGTACAAGTGCTCAATATGAACCTCCTCCAGCTGTACAGACAACATCAACACCATAGTCAAATTCATCCCATACTCGATTGAGCGTGTCGGGTGTCACTGCACTCACGGCTCTTTCAGTGCGATTTCGGAGATCGTCCAGTGTTGTGGAACCAACAACGAACGCTCTTATTGAAGTGGACCGCAAAACGCTTTCTGCTCAGGGGTCTCCATCTCCTCACAGACTGAAGGAAGCCGTCTTCCAGTGACAGTCTCTGTGACCCCCTCTTTCAGTTGGTATGTTATTGGTTCCTAGGCGCCTCACGGTTGTAAAAATATGGCGCTTTGAAATCGGAAGAATCTTTTTGAATCACCCTGTATTATTTCTGTTGCTTGTTGCTCATTGAAGGTAGCAGAGATGTTCTGCTGAAAGTGCAGATACTAAACTTTAAATTGATGCCGTATTTGTGTTTGTAAGTTGGAGATATAATATTTTATTTATATTGCAGTTGTCAAAAGAAAACCTTGTATCTCCATTTTTGTCTTTTTCAGTTTTTGGCAAAATTTGAAAATGCCTGTTATTCTTTACATTGTGTGTTATTTCATGATGAATGAACCAAAATAAACAGCCCAAAATTACTCTGAAAAAATTCTGGTTCCATTGACTTACACTAAAAGTAAAGTACATTTTTTTTTTCCTTCTCCTGTAAAGTTACCATTTTGGAGATGATTTCTTCCGACAACAGCTTTGTTGTGCATAGTGTTATTTTCCTTTACATTTGTTTGTGATTTTGTCATTTTTTGACATTGTAATGAAAAATAGATGTATTAAAGACTGTAGATTGTACACTACCATTCATAAGCTGGAAATCAGTGTATTCAATAATATAAAACTGGTATGATAATAATATGAATCATGTGATAGTTTATAAGTTCATGTAATTACAAACAATTAGCAGTAAAAATAAACGTGTAGATGATTCTGAAGGTTCTGCATGAATTTATAATAAAAGTAATATCCATAATGCCTTGTATTTTAAATGTGACAGTATATTATTTATTTTTAAATAACTTATTGCTAAACAGCTTGAAATATCAAACGTAACGGTAACATTGTTTAATAACAGTCCATAATAAACAGCAACTATTATCTAATAGTTTGTTTATGGCTTAATAATTCTATTGTTAGTTTTTATTAATGTATATGTAATTGTTATATTATTAACAGTTTATTTAGTGACATTATTTTTAGTTGTAGAGACCTGATTGTTCATTACGTATAAATGATATTTTTGTAATATTAAGCATTTACTTGGTTGCATAAAAACAATCCATAATCATTATGAATAGCTTCATAGTAAATGTCTGTCTTATTTTATTTTCTGAAGTAGTATTTTATTATTTTATGCTTTGTTAGTCGTTATTAAGTGGTCAGTATATCCTGTTTATAAAGATGAAACATTTTTTCATTTGTTGGCCACTTATTATAAAGTTGAGATGTTTATACACATATATTTTTTTTATTAAAATAACATTTACAGTACTTATTTCTTACTAAGTAAATAGTTAATAATTAAAATAGTTGTGTTTATTAATGGATAAGTGAGAGTTATATAAGTATTAACTGTTAAACTATCAGATAACGATGTAAGCTGCTGTTAGTAGGTGCCTGTTGTTATAAAGATGAATCATATAAAATAGGCAAATTTAGTAATATGAAAAGTGGTTCCAAACTGTGTAAATGTGTGTGTGTATATATATATATATATATATATATATATATATATATATATATATATATATATATATGTGTATATAACTATAGAATTAATTACATTAAGTACTTTTGGTTGCTTTTAGGTATGTAATATAAATTGAATGTATAGCACAGAAATAGTAGAACACTTTAGCTTCTAAAGGTTAAGCTGTGGGCCATTCCTGCTCTTCTCTCTTGTGTAGAGAAATGCTGTATTTATTTATATCCCTCTCTTCTCTGTAGGGAGAAGCCTCTCGCTACATTTTCCTCAACAAATTCCGCAAGTTCCTTCAGGAGAACGCAAGCAACCGAGGGGTAAGAGCTCAGAGAACAAGCTAAACATTCACATTTTCACCTACCAAATATATCTGAGCTTCTAAAAGCATCCGCATGTGGCAATCTGTGTAGCATATAAATGTTTGATTTGTAATGCTTCATAAATTTTTATTAAACAATGCTGTCCCTGTCTCAGATGAAATAGAGAGTACATCTGATCTTTACCAAAAGGGCCGTTTACTCTGTGCCTTCCCCAGCTGCCAGTAATAATGGTATCAATAAATCGAAGGCTGCTGTCACCTGGTGGCTTCAGACTGCGTCCAGCACATTTCCAATTCCTTATCAGCAGCCGGAATAGCAGTTCTGAAAAGTCCACTTTGCTCTAACTTTCAAGTGTTTACTGTATTTCGGGAGCACTCAGACTGCACACTGGAGCTGCAAAATGGGGTTCAGTCAGGTCAAACGACCACAAACCATTTTTTTCTCCCCTGACATTTTTTTATTACTTTCATCTCTGAAAAGCTTCAGGCCCAGGAAACATTCCCAGCATCTTTGTATGACACCACAGTGACCCTGTCAGTCTTTTTAAAGTTTAACTGAAAAAAAAAAGTTAGCCTGGAAGGCAATCAAAGAGTGTGAATCGAGTATCTTCTTAAATTATTTGGACAGGACAGCAAAACACAGTGTTTAGTAATTGAGTTTGAAATGTCTTTATCAGTCAGCTGTTAGAATGTTAGAATGAACCCCATAAACAGCAGGCACAGTTATTTCAGACTTATTATTCAGTAAGTACTATCGATTATTCAGTGACTACAATGAAGCTAAGATGTGAGTCATGTAGTTATGAGAGTGATACAGGCCCATAGGTCAATGACAAATAAAACTTTCAAAATCTTTATATCTTCAAGAATCTAATGTGTTGATAATTGTTTCATAGCTTTTGTAATATGATTTTTTTTTAAAAACAATCATTTATTTTATCCGTTTAAAAATGTCAAGTGGCAAATGTTCACTATAATAAAAATATTTACATTTATTTGCTGACTTTGACCTCTATCCATACATTTTTTTTTTCATTATTATATTGGGTGGTGGAATATGATGCTGAGTGCATAGTTGCAGTGAGTGAATTTTATGCATGTCACTGTCATTGATAGATTGAAAGTGGTTCACTACTAAAAATATCCAGTGACTCTGTGCTCAGAAACTGACCATTGATGAAGGGCTAGACAATGGCTAACACAAATTACACTGGTATGGTATGTCTCTCATTCTCTCTGTCTCTCATATCAGAACCCCACGGTGTTGTGTCCTCCCGAATACATGGTGTGCTTCATGCACCGTCTTATTACAGCTGTAAGGAGCTACTGGGACGAGGGAAAACGAAAGAACACTGGTGCCATCAGCAGTGAAGGTGAGCACACGCGCACTGCTCATGCATTAAGGTCTCAGTTCTAGTCTGAGATCACTTTCATTGTTCCACCATAATGGTTGCAATAGGAAGCCAAACTCGGTTAGACTGCTGTTCCAGCACCATAAAACTTTCAGGAGAGAAGTAAGAAGAGATGCTGGGAGGAAGCTGCTATTCATTCAGGCAGTACTGCTCCTATTCAGGGCTACATCTTCTGAACAGAACATTTTTCCCCATTGTATTTTGCTAATTGCTTTCTTTAAAGGGGAATCCTAGCAGTGCTTCATAAAATTCTGCTTAATTGAATGGTTAGGATGTAAACAGGGTCATTCAAAAGGGGTTTGAACTAAAATGCTTGGCTCTAGAGAAAGAATTGTTCACAGCAGTGGTGATAGGAACCAGACATCTGAAGAGTTGAATGCCTCTAAAAGCTCCCTGACAGAAAGTTATTCAGTTAAAGTTCTGATTACGTTGCCTGTTGCCTGAGTCAAGGATATATGAAAAGGCTTTGTCCTAAAACCATTTTTATGGTGGAGTGCAGGAAAAATGGCCAACCAAAGAAAGTTGGTGGAAAGTGCAAAGTTTAAAATGTGCTTTATGCTTCATATTGCATCTTCTGCAGTTCTGAAACAATGCCTCTCTTTCTCTGTCTTCATTGCAGAGGCCTATGTCCCCCCTCAGCTTTTCTACAATGGAAAAGTGGATTACTTTGACCTTCAGCGGCTGGGAGGGCTGCTCTCACATTTAAAGAAGACGCTGAAAGGTTTGGAATAAGTTATTTTATGTATTATTATTATGATCTAATTTCTCTTGATGTTTGATCTGGAAATGAAGAGTGAGAGAAATGGCCACTCCCCAGAAAATTCTTTGGCAATTTAGTTTGAAGTGCCACTAGGGGGAGATGAAGGTTAATTTGTTGAAGAGAGATTCGGCGGCTGCTGTACTGCTGAGACACAAAGTGAGTCGTCTATAGAGTGAATACAGTGCCATGTATAAGTGAAATGTCATATTGAATTGTAAAAACCATATTGCAGTTCAATTGAAGTTCTGTGAATTTTTCTCTTTCCACCACTTTTTTTTTCCATTCTGAGTCGATTTCTGAATCATTTCAATACTGGCAGATATTTGCTTTTAAAAAATGATCATCCTTGGGCAGCATTTGATTGGTCCAATAATTTACACAGAAATTTGATGATGTATTTAATTATAGCAGAATGTTTAGACGACGCTGGTCTACTGTGCTAATGTTTCTGTATTTTATTTATTTTACCACATTTGTAACCCCCTACAGACAAATAATGGATATCTAGTTCCAGTTTCTATGCATCAGTAGTGGAAGTTATGTCTATGAAAAACATTGGCATCAACCCACACCTCCATAGCATATCGATACTTTATTTTATTTGTACAGTACTTGTTTTTTATTCTTTGTGGCACATTTTTTTGTTTACTTTTCTTTGTATTTCATTTTCTGGCATCTTCTTCTGGGGTTAGAGCTATAGAGTGGCCATGTCCAGAGAAAAGGCCAGGGCAGCTGAGTGTCAGTCATTAGCAAGAGCACCAGTTTATATCATGACTGATGAGAAGTCCAGTGGTACAAATGCTGGATCTCAGCTGCGTACAATTGATTATTTCATGTTTCTTCACTAATTAGCTTCATAGATAAACTTTTGGTCAAATCTATTTACAGTTCCAGCCTTAGTTGATTTAAATCTATACTGCCCTGATTTTAGAAATACTCACTGAATGTTCAAACTAGGGACAATATTGCTTAAACAATTAATGTGTAAGATTGTATTATTAATATTTTGGTCAATTCCTTCATTTCAGTTATGCCACAAATTTTCTAATTAAGATAAGGTAGCCTAGATCTCTTTCATGACGTTATTGATGGATTGGATCATTTTGTAAGTCTTTAATTGGCTACTCTGAGAAGTTAACTCTACTTTTCTGGTGTTAACATCAATAGTACTAGAGGAAACAGTTAGATGCACACATTATGTTTCCTCTCTTGTAAAACTTTTGGAACACTTTTCCCCTTCATTATTGATCCTCTCACTGCTTCCAGCAAAACAGTATAGATTGAATGACCTTTGATTAATCAGCATCAAATGGAGAGCAAAGTGCATTTTACAATACTGGCGGCACAGTCATTCCACACAATTGGAATTGGCCTTGTTTACCAACCATCAGAAGGGTGGCTGTTCCATTTTGATTTGTGACCTCGTAAAATCCCCGAATTGACAGGAATGAGATGGATGCCAACATCGTCAGGAGAGCTCAAATGCAGATGGATATTGATTTCCCTGAAGGAAGCCCGGCTTTGTAGCAAAACAGTGATGAGGTTTGAATATAAAGCCGAGTGGATTAAGTCGTATGGGTGGGGTTGGTGAGGAGAGGGAGAAAAGGGACCATATCAGGCTCTTTCTTGATGATTTCCTCTTATTGCTTTTGTTTGCTGTTTTCTCTCACTCTCCTTACTTTTCCAGGAATCTAGCCAATATGGCGGTCTGTTTGCTTCAAATAAGCTTAAGTGATAATGGCTCGGCGCTCTGGGATTTAATCTTTATGATTAAAACAACAGAGGAGGTGTTGACTGTTTGGAGGAGAGGGTGGTGTGTGTGTGTGTGTATTTATGTATGTGTATGTGTGTATGTGTGTGTGTGTGTGTGTGTGTGTGTGTGTGTGTGTGCAGAAGTTGTACTTGCTTTTCGACTTTTTGTGGATGCAGTGCGCTTTAAGTATACACAGATGAACCAGAACATTATGACCTTTCACAGATGAAGCAAAGAACGCTGGTTATCTCAATGGTACATGTCAAGGTCTGGAAGCTATTACACATTTTCTAACCACTTATCCTTCTGGGTTGCGGCGGGGGTGCTGGAGCCTATCCCACTGGTCATTGGGTAGAAAGCAGGAAACACCCTGGTTGCCAGTCCATCAGAGGCAGACACACAGACATAAACATTCACACCCACATTCTCACCTAGGGGCAATTTAGCGTGTCCAATTGGCCTGACTGTGGCTTGTGGGTGCTCCTGGTCAGCAGTGGTGAGTATCTATCAACAGTAGTCTGAGGAGGGACAAACCCTGAACTGGCAAAAGGGAGATGTCTACCCAACGTTCATCGATGCATGAGGGCTATGAAGGCTATTCGATCTGTTCCAAACTGACAGAAGGGCTACTGTGGCACAAGTTACAGAAATTGTACGGGTTATGGAAGGAATATATAATGCTGGTCAGAGACTGGTTAAGAGTGCCGACACTAACCCCTGCACAGCATCAAAAGTGCCTACAATGGGCAGGCAAGTGTCAGAACTGGACCTTTGAGCAATGAGGATCCCCTGGTCTGATGAGTCCTGTTTTCCTTTACATCACCTGATGGCCAGGTATGTGTGTGCCGTTTACTTGGGGAAGTGATGGCATCAGGATGCACAGTGGGAAGAAGGCAAGCTGGTGGAGGGAATGTGATCTGGGCAGCATTCTGCTGGGAAGTCCTGGGTCTAAGCGTTCACGTGGATGTCAGTTTCACACGTGCCATCTACCTAAAATCATTGCGGACCTCTTCTCTCTCTGTCCCAGCACGACCTACATGGTAATCCTGAATTTCATAATATGATAATCCTATCATAAAGGGGAATTAAAGAAATAAGTTAAGAAATATGAACGCATTTTTCCTCAGCTGGTTTTGCGTACATTTAAGACACAAAAATAGTCGCTGATCAGTGACCTCATTCCGTATGCATTTTGTTGGCTTTTTCCACAGCTGTTCCTGACCTGCACCTACAGGAGATGTACAGTTTTCTGTGGCATTGCAGATAACTTGTTAAGCGGGCTTGTTAAGGCCGAGGTGAATTGCGTTGGTTAGCACATATCATTTTAATAATGTTTATAATGTCTACCATATTTAAACAAGTACCACTTTTGAATGTGAGTTGGGTGACATCAGGCAAATAAATGTACATAAAAGAAAGCAGAAATTTGTCACGGGTCTTACAAAAACAAGACGTTCTAACTTCTGACGGGTGCTGCAACATCTGGGCAGCAGTAAGTAATGTTTGTTTATTTGAGCTCGAACTGTGTCTGTGTTTGGTTAGTAAATATCAGCAGCTAAGAAGCAAGATAGCTATTCAGCCAATTTGACCACTTTAGGCTTTTAATTTAATAGATGAGTACAATTAACAGGTCTACTCAATTTTTGATCTTTTTTAATATTAATCGTCATCTAAAATTTCATCTTAGACTCATTTACGAACCTTTATTTTTAAAAGTGAAACTCAAGCATCTTTCATCCTCTTCCCTGCACCTCCTTCCCTGTCTCCCTCCCTTCCGTAAGCTCTCTTCATTCTTGGCCTCGTTCTAAGTTCCTGCTTTGCTTGATTAAACTCTGATTATTACAACAAGCTACTTCTTTGGTGTCTCTCCTGAAAAAAACACATTCTCCCGCTGGCTGATTTCCCGCCACCGTTGCCTGATTGAGCCCCTTTTCCGACGCCGCTGATTGTTTCCATTGTGCTTCGGGAGTTAAACATGGCTCCGGAATGATAGAGGGGAGATGATTGAATGCCCGTAATATTTGTATTCTGTTGATGGTGACAGTTTTGGAGCTGGCATGCTGCCAGTTTTGACAGGGGTGTTCTGTAACGAGGTGAGCGGGAGGAAATTTAAAATGTGAACTTCACACCCTTTTGTCACTTGATGATAACGATTTAGATTTTAAGGTGGCCTGGGCTTTTCTGTCATGACCTTTCTTACGCAAGCTGTTATTCCTTCAAAGCCTCGTCCTCTTTTTTCATCTCTCCTTTCAGTGCAGCTTGAAGTGCAGCATTCCTCACACTGCCACTCATCATAATGATTACCTCTCATGGGCTTGAAGGGCAGCATCGATTCTGCCGTGACATCATCATCATTATCGCTGCCATTTTGGTCTGATAGTGCTTATTGATGGCTCTCTTTGGTCCTTGTGGTCAGACGTCACTGATTGCTTCTTGACTCTTAGGTGTATGTGCATTTGTCTGCATTTGGGCCTTAAGTGGCACCATTAGATCATAATTTGGATGCAGTCATTCTTGGATTTAAGCTTGGACTAATTTCGTAGGCGCTACGATGGTCGATTCTCCTTATACCCATAACCTGCCAGGGGTCAGTTCCTCACTCTTAGGCTACGCTCACTTTACAAGCCTCATTGCTCAAATCCGATTTTTTGCTCAGATCCGATCTCTCTAACACGATGGTTCACACTCATTTAGGTAAGTGATTCAAATCTGCCATTAATGGGAACGAACCGGCATCCTGAAATGAACCGCATGTGCACATCCTACTCAGTAATGTCATGTGAATGAATCACGTGCATCATCTTCCAACAGGCTAACGAGCATTTTTTATTAACTCTGATCAGCTCTCAGCTGCTCATTATTAGGGCGAGACAAAGGTGAAAACGGTGAGATGTGCTGCTTTTCCACCATTTACAGGCTTTAGATTCTGTTCAGCGCTGCTGCCATGGTAACGCTGAATGATGGCGCACGCGCAGTGGAAAAAAAGCACATGAATTCCGATCTGAGGGTCACATTAAGGTCGCATGGCCACGAATCGGATATGTATCCGATCTAGGACCACATATGAAAGTGGCTCAGGTCACATATGAAAAGATCAGATTTGCGTGTCCACACAGCCCTAAAAACATCATATCTGGGTCACATTAGGATAAAAAATCTGATTTGTGCCACTTTAACATGGTAATATGGTTGTAGCCTTACGCATATGTAACTTGCGTATTACTCTTAAGATTAATGATATAATAAATGAATAATAATGAGTAAATAACGAGGTTAGGTTTGTTTCTCCAAACTTTTAGATCCAAATCTCCTTCAAACTGTTGTTCCCTCTTGGCTGCCACTAAATAGCGGGATCTGTTAGAGCTTGAGTCAAGGACCACTATGTTCTTTTCCTAACCTTTTACTCTGTTAATTAACGTTAATGTTCCATTGGCTCAGTTCACCCCAGTGCAAATCACTAGATTTAATTCAGCCCTTCGTAACCTTTGAAAGAGCAATGGAACAAACCCAAGGCAAACTCACGCCTTATGGACAAACTCAAGGCCTGTTATTACTGCTTGCCAGATGAGCTTGGCAGATGGGACCTTGTGTCTTTCTGTTAACTGTTTCAGGGTCTCTCAGGAGTGGGTCAGATTTACAACCACATGGTCAATTAAACGTATATCAAACACAGCTTTTCCTTATCTTTAACCTTTATGCTCTAACTCTCTAACCCTGACCCTAACCTTAACACTTTTTTTCTAGGTTGTCATGTTCTAAAAGGCAAAGTTAAATTTAAAATTTAAATTAACAAGGCTGCCAAAATACAACATATTTATAAAGAAACTGACAGTTGGGACACAGTACTGGGTAGCTCAAGAAAATATTCTATAGTTCTGTCTCTAAAATAAACGTTTAGAAGTTCCATATATTTATAATTTTCAGAAAGTTTTTTTAACGTTTGTTTTTTCATAAGAAGTTAATTTAATCAATGAATTAACTCATATTCTAAACTGTTACCTTGTTGACATTAATCCAAAACATACATCTAACTGTAGCGCTGCTCCTAACCCTAACTGAGATGGTAATCGACTGAGTTTCACTGCATAGTTACACAGGAGTTCCTCACCGTTTGCAACTTCTGGCCCAAACAGCCAAACTGATGTTGGCTGCAAACAAATATAACATCAATGTAGCCTATCAAATTTTGCTTAACTGTATGATCATGCGATGTAAATACCAAAAAATATTATTATTGTTTGTGGCCATTTATCCTTTGCATTAATGAATTCCAAAAAATCCAAAAATAGAAACATTTTACATTGACTTATTAAGAATATAAACATAACCAACTAACTAGGTCAGTTACATTGATTATGGTCATGCATTTTGCCAGAACAGTCAATAAGTCAGAACTAAATTTGATGTTGTACTTTTTGCAAATTATTATCACAACCATATGTGTCATATTTAAGATTTAAGTATGTCTATGCATTGAAATAAAGTTTTGCGATTTAAAAAAAAGCAAACAAACATAAAACTGATAGTCAGCACCCCCCTAGCACAGGGATCTTTAATTAAAGTTCAGTAAGGTCCAGTTAAAGAAAGTTTCCTCAAGCAAAGGTCCGGAACATCATAATGTCTAACTTGCATTATGATTCAGTGCCATATACTGTTTACTGAAGTAGTCTAGTAGGTCTGTCAACGTCGTATGTAGTCGACAACTGAATATCAAATCAAATAAAGTACAATTCAGTAATATTTCAACAACATTTATTGTCAGTTTTCTCTTTTTAGAGCCATGTAAAATAATCTGGCTCACTTTCTTCTCCAACTGTTGTGTCTCGCCTCGTCCTTTCCCTGTGTGTGCGCCACTCACTTGAGTCTCAGTGCTCATCGTAATGGACAGATTTGATTGGTTGAGTAGCGTTATGTGTGATATTTACAACGCATGCGATTGGTCTGTGAGTTTCCCTGGGCGCTAAATCGGTACCGTAATGACTAGAAATCATACGCAGATTAAAATAGGACCACCCCGTCGAAATAAAATAATTACCTGTAGTTTATCGGTTGTAGGTCCAGGTCCACATTGGACAGCGTCTGGGTCCGGACCTCTGCCCTAGCACTACCACCATGGCCAACTAGGGGGTTGCAGCTCACGGGTTAAAGACTGCTAGTTTCACAGTCTGAGTATTTGTACATAAGTTACAGGGTGGGGTTGGCAGTGTGGCAAAATGGCATAATGCACAGTTGGTCCCATTAAATTTGTTTTCAGAGGGTTGCGAGCACATTGGAACAGACCTGATGCACCAACAATACAGCTGTGTGCTCAAAAAACTGAAAAATGAAGTGCAAGTTTTATTCAACATAAAGAAACCAGAAGAAATTTTAAAAAGTGGTCAAAAATAAATAAGATAATGGCATAATGTGCTAACATCCAGTCAGCTACTTGTTGCACTTTTATGTTTTGTTTACAGGCACTCCATAATTAATCTAAATCTGTTAATTAATTAATGTAATAATTAATCTAAATCTGTAATTTGTTTTTTTTGAGTTAAGCTTTTAATTGGTTGGTGTCCTATACATTCTGATGATGTCTATGATCCAGCCCAGAAGAGTATATTCTGATGTACTTCATCACAATAACGATAGCATATTACCCACCTTTGCTATAGGTGACCATCAAAATAAAGAGTGACTCAGATCTCCTTGCAGTTTATGATAGAGACCTCACTAACATGCCGATTTATCCTAGGGTGTCATGGATCCGGCCTTGCGGGGGGTCACATCCTCAGGTGTGATGAAGATTATGCCTGAACCCCCTACATCAGATTAATAAAACAGTATTTCTCACGTCACCTGTCCAGTGCAATTTCCCCCCGTCAGGGTTACAAATTACACTTCTTCTGTTTGGATGGTAACGTGTTTTGATGGAATATCAAATATGTATACGTGTCCGTGATGGCGCAGGAGTAAAAAACTGAAATGTTATGTAATAGTAGTGGGATATTTTGTGGAGCTGTCAGTAGAAGCAGGATAACGACCTGAGCCAGCATAAAGCAGTGCTGGCTGTGCAAATTTTGACTTGCCTGCAGATGTGTATAGAAATTTCAGGACGGCAGGACATCCCTCCGCGCTTGCTGTACTTCAGGGTAACACGGTTGTGCTACCTGTTGTTATATAACAGTCAGAATACTCTGCAAGGCAAATTAACATGTGATCTGGCCATATGTGTATATCAGTAAACTTTTCAGTGAGATGTTTATGCTGAGTTTTTATCTGTGTTCTCCACAAACTTGTTAATGCTTCTATACTGACTTCAGAGTCTTACCTGCACCTCTCCTGCATCTTTTATAACTTTGTGCTATATACGCCTTGGGCTCTTATTAGTATGAAATAAATAGACAAGGCTGTAGCTGCTGAAAGGCTAAATTTGCAAGGGTTCTTGTGTTTGTTTCAGACCACTGCTTTCTGTTACCTTCTACAGCACCAATTAGGACTGCAGAATACTGGAGACAGTGCTAGCATTGCTATTACATTACCTCATATTGTGATGGCAGTATGTCTTTCATGCATTGGTGCATTAATAACAGCATGGGAGAATACTGACCTGCATTATTTTGACCAGATAATACACTTTTTTTTTTAATACATGGATATTTGATTCATCAGAATATCCACAGGAACCCTCATTTTGGTCAAAATGCTCACAGCACACAAAAACAATGTAATTAGTTATATTTCTCATTTGCATGTTGATGCCCTGCTAAACTTGCAAGGGTTCTAGTGTATTTCAGACCTGCACTGTCTGGTACCACCTACAGTATATTGTGGCTCTATAATTTGAGTAAATTATTAGTATTGCATCTATATTGCCTCATATTGCAGTATGTCGTGCAGTATATTAAGAACTCTGAATCAGTAATGTGAAAGGAGGATTAGTTTCAGAAGATTAGATTTTAAAGAAAATCACTTTCACTTGCTTTATCTATAAGTGGCCATAATGTTTCATCACTTTGCTGTAGATTATCAGGTGTTCCCAAACTTTTGACTGCCACTGTACAAAAAGGGATTTGATCAACAAGGGACTTCAGAAAATAAGGCACCTTTTTTTTCACTTGAAGTGTAAAGTAGCTCACACTGATGCATGATCCGCACAACATTGATTTTATAGATTATTCTGTTCCATAAAAAAAGAAAAAAAAGCAGATGCTAATAAATAATACGGAGTGATGCATGTGATAGAATGTGCCAGCTTTTTGGATCTTCCACTCACAGAAGGTCTCAGTTTCATCTGTTGTGTCTAGCTGACTGAATGGGTGACACTTGTCTATAGTATTTTGCTTCCAAGTTAAACATCTTCACATTCTGTTCGCTCAGAAAGCAGAGCCTGTCTGTTCTCTAGGGAACACAGGAGGAAAAGCCACATTGAATCGCGTAATGAAGTTTGCTCATGCTGGCTTTGTTTGTGTGTTCCTCCATTCAGATGACCTGGCCTCCAAAGCAAACATCATCATCGACCCTGCAGAGATCCAGGCCACCTCTATGGATGATCTGGACGAGGATGAGGAGAGCGGAGCTGCACAGGTAAAGCATAAGGCCCAATCCCATATCTTATTTTACCCCTACCCCTTGTTTTCGAGTGTCACCTTGCCCCTTCGAACTGAATTACAAGGGGTCATTGAAATCTTTCCTTACGAAATGGGACCCTCAAATAAAAAAGAACATTACTTTATTAACAGCTACTAGCGCTGCTCTGTAGGCGACCCTGCCAGTCTGCGGTGGTAGCAGAGGAGGGTAAAGTTCAGAAACCTCACTGCTGGGCTTTAGTTACGTTTAGGGCATCATATGCCTTCAAAGAGGGGGATACGACAATTACTTATTATCGACCACCCCTAATTCTTCGGTGATATGAAGCTGAAGTCTGTTCGCCAGCAAATTTTACTGTTCCACCTTAAGTGGAGCAGCAGTTACATTTTGGCGCTTTATGCATCAGAACTGCTGGACTATTTAAAGTGGAACGGGTAATTTAGCTAGCTAGCTACGGAGACATTAGCATACTGTTAGCGATTTTTTATGCTTATTGTGAAGAAAAGGACCATAATACATTGAAACGACATTAAACTAAGATAATACAATGGTTATTGTAATTTTTAATGGTGAAAATTCTCACATTTGTGGGTTTCTTTGGTCGCTCGCGCAGCCACCTTCCCGGTTTTTCTTTTTTCTTCATAACACTCTGTTTGGAGTGTGCCTCTGAAAAACCTCAGTTTGGAGGGCCATGTAGCTCTAATACTTTGCTCTACCCCTCTATCTCAACAAAAACTACACCTAGGCCTCAATGCGCAAAATGGGGGGCTAAGGGGTGGGGGCAAGGGGCAAAATGGAATTGGGCCGAAGTGACCTCTGCATTCTGTCTTTGCTTCTTTCTTTATGTCTTGCTTATGAATGCATTGGGATGCAGATGTATCAGAAATTACACTAACATGTCAGTGTTATTAAATGATGGGGTGCATGGGACTTGATTAAGATCTGCTCTGCCATATCCTGAAATCAGATTCTCATGGTAAAAGCCGCTGCATCATCTTTCAAACATTTGGAATCACTTTCTAAACGTTTGGAATTTGTTTGCAGTCATATAAGAATAATTGTGCACCTACATGTAGGTGTTGCAGTGAAACATTGTATGTGTTCAGTAAGAGGAACTGAGCTGTAGATCATTTTAAAATGACTGAGAAAACTGTACAGTGTTAAAGAAAATGTTCTGTCAGAGCTACTAATACCAACAAAGAATGAAAGTAAATAGTCTTCAGTCAGCATAATTCACATGCTTGGTTGCTACTGATGTTCTGTCATTCCTAGCAACCTTCACATGTACACTACTGTTCAAAAGTTTAGAATCACTTGCCATATTATTTTTTTATACTTTATGTACAACAATAACATATACAGTTTTAAAATAAGATGAATTCTGAATATCACTTTTATTGTAAGTTAATTTTCAATGTTGAACAGCTTTCTCAGTGATTTTAGAGTTGTGTGCAGCTCTCATCTCTCTGGACTTATCTTAAGATTTTTTTCGATTTTTATTTACAGCTTTTTGGTGTATCTGACAATTCTAAACCTGTGTTCCACAGGACTAAAGTTCTACAGGACTATCATATTTATCTGCGAACAAATTGGTTTTATTCCAGTAAACATCTTGATTCCAAACTTTTGAACAGTAGTGCATAATTAAACTATTCTTTCAAGAAAAAACTTATAAATAATATCCAGAATTCCTCATATTTGAAAAAGTCTCTAGGCAGATAACTTCACATCTAGACAGATAGCCTGAAATTACTATAAATGTATAATTTAAATATCTTTTTTTCTTGTTCATGTTAAAAAAAATACCTTCTGTTATCTAGTGTATTTCAGTCTATGTTTTATAAGTTAAAGGGCCCATATTATGGAAAACCAAATTAATGCAAAAACTGATTTTTATGTAATTTGAAACTTATCATTTACTCCCCAGTCCATAGTTTCCATATATGGAAAGTGAACTGCAAAAACCAAAGCCATTTTGAATTCATTGTACAAAAAGTCACCAAAGATGAACACATATATCCATATTTACAGACGTTTACCTCCGCCCATTCAAGTTGCAGTTACGTGAAGCATCAGGCGTCAGCCTAGATGCCTTTTTGAATGATCAGAAATCAAAATACAGGGCACTCAATCAGAAGAGACGTCATTTACATATTTCATTCTTAAAGTGATAGTAAGAAAAATAGCCTGTTGAAATATAAGGAATAAACAGGATGTAGGATGGAAAATGGTCATGTAAAAAGTAATTGCAGCTGGCTTTGGTACATATAAAACCACACAAATTTTACTGTCCCTTTGGGAAAAAATAAAATAAAAATGATAATAAATAAAAAAAAAATGCTAAGAAAAAGATATGACATTGGCCCTTTAACTGCTAAAATAATGAAAGTTACTAATATGACAAGTGATTCTAAATGGCAGTATTGTCAAGTGTCAACTGAACATAGATGAGGCATCAATAAATTGACCCTAACCTCAGATGCCCTAATTAAAAGCATTAAAAACAATATTTAAACCTGTTACCTGTCAGGATGTTAGACTTCCTGAGAGTGAATGATTTTATCTGTGTATAATGTTTATGTGTACAGAGGCCATCCGGTGCAGCAGCAATGGGCGGTGCCTTGGCTAGGCCGAGCTGGCTGAGTTCTCCCACATTGGGGCGAGCCAATCGTTTCCTCAGTACAGCTGCTGTCAGCCTCATGACACCACGGCGACCCCTGGCCCCACCTGAAAAGGTCAAAGTGCGCACTCTACCTGTGGAACAGAGGACCGAGGAGGACAGTGAGTTGCTAATGCTAAATATAACGATATAACGATGATTTGTATACATAAAGACTGCATAAGACACACTTCATGCATTTGTTACAAGCAGAGTTGATCACTGTAATGCTCTTCTTACTGGACTTTCTAAGAAAACAATACATCCCTTAACAACTTGTACAAAATGTGGCAGCAAAAAATAAACAAAAACAAAAGAAAATCTCATATAACTCCTGTTTTGAAAGAACTGCACTTGCTACCTGTATCTTTCAGGGTAGATTTTAAAATTCTGCTCCTAGTTTCTAAAGATGTAGCACCTGTGTGCCTCACAGAATGTCTGTCTATGTTCCAAAAGCTCAGTAGCTTAGATCTAAAGATACTTTCCTTCTACAAACACCTTTTGTAAAATACAGAAAACGTAGAGAGGCCTCTTCGGTTATTGTGCTTCTAAACTTCGGAACTCAGTTCCACCTTCTATTCGACAGTCAAGCTCAATTCACATGAAAACATGTAACATTTAAAAATGTATCTCTTTAACTTAGCATTCAACTGAATTTGTATAGTATTTCTTTCTAAGTTGATCTGTACTTATCTTGTCTGTTACTGTAAACCATTATCACCTGTCTGTAAAGCACTTTGAGCTGCCAGCGGTATGAAAGGTGCCCTATAAAAAAAAAAGGTTATTATTATTTGTTATTATTAACTTGTCACACAGTGATTGTGCTAAATAGTATCTTCCTGTTCTATATTCTATGTCGTGACATACCTAAGCCATCCCTTGGGTTTAAATCATGTATTGTTTTGTGAGAAAATCTATTTTTGCTATTAAGATAAGTAGCACCGCATGATATAAAAGGCTTAATGTCGATGGCACTTACATTATTCCCAGCCCCTATAGAGCATCACAAAGCCCTCTCCACCAGCAGTAAGCCTCAATTTCCAGCTCTACAAAGAAAGTCAGCAGGAAACCAATTAGCTAGGCTAGGAGTGACGAAAAAAAAATCACCTGCCTCAAGAAAAAGATGCCACGTTTTGAGACCTTGCCGGGGGATAATCTTTTCTTTTTTTTTCCCAAACTCCCCACATCTCTCTCTTTTTTTCTCTTTTCTCTCCCTCCACACCCCCCCCTGACTCCAGTTGAGGGAAGCCATGGTAACGATGGGCTGTTGCTGGGGCGACCATTGGAAGAGCCCGACCAGCCAATCACAGAAAAGTCCTTGCTGGAGATCCTGGACGGGATCGTGATGATGTATAACCTGAGTGTTCATCAACAGCTGGGCAAGGTGAGATAGCCGCAAGAGCCAACACCACCGCTTCCCGAGTCTCTCTGCGAACGTGCCAAGAGAGAAAAGAGAGAGAACTAGAGCGGAAAAAGGGCTGAGGCTAATAACATGACCGGGCAAGACATGCCAAGAGCAAGAGGTTAAGCCATATTTGTTGACATGCGCTGATGTCGATTTCACCTGTCGCTTTTGGTTGTCTTTCTGAGAGCCTGGCTTGGCACAGATGTGGTGTTATTCAGCCTGCCAGTCAGAAGTTTGAATCCACTTGGTTTCAGTTGGTATCCAGCTTAGTGCATGCAGGCGTTTTGGTTGCTCGTTACCTGTCATGCCTGCAGATTTTAGTTAAAGGTGAATGTGCATAAAATTGCGTTTTTATAAAATTAACAAATATTAATGATAGGATAATGTGCCCCTTAATGTATGATATCTTATTGCTAAATAAAAACAGCAGCATCATTATGTCAGTCAAAACCTAACAGTGCTTTAAAGCACAGAAACCTGGGCTTGTTTTTCTCACAGTGCTGTCACTGAGCTTGTGTTCATTGATGGGATCATGAACTCAGAAGGCATTTTGGATGCAAACCTGAAAGAAAAAGAAGAGCCCAGTGTTGGAGTAGTCTGTTTAAAACAAATGCCACTTCGTTTGATGGTTTGACACCGTTAACTTAGTAGCTACATTTTTAAGCATGGAACAAATGTCTAAATACGTTTTGGAGCCACTACATGTCCCAAACACCTACTCATCCAACATTTCTTCTAAAATCAAAAGTATTAATAAGTAGTTTGTTCCCTCCTTTGCTGCAGTAACAGCCTCTACTCTTCTGTGAAGGGTCTATACTAGATGTTAGAACATTGTTGTAAGGAATTGATTACATTCAGCTACAAGAGCGTTAGTGAGGTCAGGTACTGATGTTGGATGATTAGCATCAGTAACTCATCCCAAATGTATTTGATGGAGCTCCATCACTGCAGAGAACACAGTTACTCTGCTACACAGCTCTGTGCTGAGGGGCTTTATACCTCTCTTACAGATGCGTGGCATTGGGTGTGGTGACCTTAGGCTTATGTGCGGCTGCTCCAGAGTATTTCATGCTATTGGCAATGTTTTCTATGGAAATTATACAGGGAGATTCACTCGAAAGAGGCCCTGAATATTCTGTTGTAACTCCCGTTAGAATTAGGCAGTCTGAACCAAAAAAATACGCTACATACCTTGATGTATGTGTAATCGATTGCATTACATGCAATGCTGGAAGTGATCTCCATTTTCTGCTAGACACATGAAGAAGTATGGGAGTATGCACCCGGAAGTTGCAAACGGAGGTTAAACGCCGCAACGGCTGTCTGTCGTCTACCTCATTGCTCTGATGCAGGGGCCTCCCAGCTTGTTCGGAGCTCCATATACTGAGGAGCACATTGCACATTGTTTCGTTCAGATTGCTTCATCCTAGCAAGAGTTATTACAGAATATTCAGGACCTCTTTGGAGTGAATCTCCCTGTACACGCTGCGCAGGTGCAGTTAAACACATGTAAGCAATGGGAGCACTTTAAACTAACTAAATTCACGAATCAAAATTTTGGTCATGTGTACTTTTCAGCAACCAACAAAGTCTCAGCATATGTTGAACTTCTTCAGGTCATGTGGATCACCCAGATAGCTCATAATAAAGCAAGCTGAAAGAATGTCAGGAGTTAAAAAAACAGCCCTGGTATGAACCGATGTGTCAAAACTTCTGCTCTTGTATCTTCTGTTTGATGTCATTTCGAGGGGGCAGAAACATCCACTTTTGATTATGTGAGCGCTGTTTAGGCAGAGTGTTTGATGGAAAATATTGTCAGAGATAGGATGCTGAAGAAGAAAGACCTAAAAACACCCATTTAGGCATAAAAGCTAAGTGCAGTTGTTCAGCGTAGTCCGTTTTAGGAGTTAATTATAACATCCACTCCCTAGAGGACCCTTCCTTTTGAGTTCTGCAGACTTGACACAGCCTACCAGCTCTCTAATTGAATCAACTTAGTTGAACCCCAAAGTGGAGCCCTCTCATACCGACCTTAAGGAAGGCATTAATGCACACACACAAATGTGGCCCACCAAGTAGATAATGCTCTGGCTGCAAAACATCTTTTATGCGGTCTTCTTTCATCTGAGCCGCGGCAAAAGATGCACTCACAATCTATGAAGGTGGATGTAATTTGCACTGTGCGAGAAGTGCTTGGCTCGGCAAAGCCCTGTATACCATCCACTCTGTCTTCCTGCGCTGCAGCCTCCTCGAGCTCGAGGAACATTATTTCATTGAGTGAGGTGTGAAAAAGTGCTGCTTTGTCTCTTGTCTCTCCTAATGTTGTTATTCCTGCTTGTTGGGTCAGCATATTCCTGCACCTCTTAGTGTTATAGGGTCAGGGAACTTAGTTTGGCAAAAAAATCTAATTTACTCAATTTTCTCTTCATCCCAAACGTACTAAATTTAGTGAACTTTAGTTACTTTAGCTTCTAGGGGTGGGTATCTCAAGGCAGCTCATGATTTAAGCAGTTAAAATCTGTTAGTTTTGCACTGGAGCTTCGAGACTAATGTAGCTAACAAGTAATGGAAATGTTTATCCATCATGCAACGGAATGGCAATAGAACATAATTTAGGTCTGAAAAGGTTAAATGCCTGGACACTCTGTGACATCGCTGGCTAATCACTGTACACAACAAGCACTCGACTGTAGTCTGTGAATAGTGTGACCATATTCAACCAAATTACATAAAGAGACTGCAAAACTCCAACATACATAGCAAGAAATGTTACCTGAATGTCTGTTACAAGCTTTAAATGTCTGTGTTAAAGGTATAGCATGCTGAAAAACGTAAACAGACACAAATGTTAACTTAAAGCTAAGCCTGCGTTAGCGGGCTAATGGAAATTAGCCTCATGCTAGCACTAGAGATTTGATGAAAAATTCACCCTTGTCATTCAAATTAAGAACTATTTCTTGATTAAACATTATATATTTAGCTATATTTAGGGTGAGTGTGGACAGCCGGTTCATGATTTTATGAGTTTTACAGACATTAAGTGATAAGTTTCATCTGACATCATCCTGCATGCTATTTTTATTGACAAGATCACAGACTCCCATCAAACCACATTGAGTAATCTTAAATAAACTTGCGTTTGTGATTTCTGACACTGTATGACATAGTGTTATTTAAAAAATGGACCAAAGTAAAGGCAGAATTGGAGCTGGCTACTGCTTTCAGATATGTGATGAACTTTTGTACGTTTTTATACATAACAGTATGTCATATAAGTCTGTATGAGGTTTCTTAACACAATGCAGTAAATACAACTCTGATGATTTAGCAATATAGATTGCAGAATGCTAATTTGTGCAGTTTAAGCTTATTAATATTAATATGAATACCTGATACCAGGTATGACTATCAGACTCATAACTGAAGAAAATACTGGATCAGATAATTGAAAAGAAAAAAGAATGACTCTGATCCAACCCTGTAAGAAATCTGTCATGAAATAGTACATAGTCACACTGTGTGATATGATATTGTTAGCTGTACTTCTTCCTGTGGGGTAGTAGAGTGTAGAGACTACTGTTAGATGCTCATTGTAAGTGAAGTGCTTCACTTAAAACAGCTTTGTAATATTTTGGATAGTATCGGCCAAAACCCGAAGTTTAATATCGATATCCGTATCGGTCTTGGAAACGAAAGGTGGTATTGTGACATCTCTAACTAATAATTTAGGCCACATTAGCCTCGTAGCTCTGATGTGAAACTAAAGATGCAGACTTTGGACCTCAAACATATATTGTTGATTGATGACATTTTGGGTAGGAGGGGAAATGGAGGGGGTGGTGCACGGGGAAGGGGAACTGTTCCTGTAAGTTGCCGTTTTGATTGATGTGTTTGGATCTCAGTTGCTTTCACTGCTTTTTGAATCTCAATTCCAATCCTTTTCTTTTTACTCATTTATTATTTATGTTCTCTTGCAGTCACACCAATTTTGCTTCAGACAAAGGCTTGGGACGTATTGTCGATCGGAGCTTTAACTCAGCGGGTACATCACTAACGGCACTAAAATCGTCTCGCTGTCACTCTGCAAGCCACATGTAATTGATCAAAACAGGTTGTCACTGAAAGGAACGATGTGAGAAAAATAACATCAGTGCCAGCATCTCTCGTTAACATCATCCATACGCAAGCACTCTTTTCTCCATTAGGTTATCCGCTCCATTGAAAAAGACCTGCACACAGACCTGCACAGCCGTTAAGTCTATGTTCGTAATTGAATGGCATTGAATTACGCTGTAAGTGTGGCTCGCTAAGCAGTTTCCTGAGCTTACTGAAGCACTTAATCGTGCTAAGCCAGTGTCACGACCAAAAGCTGAAAAAGGACTGTCTTTTTGACATTCATACCGCAGAGTCATTCAGCGCACAGTACGTTAAGTAGGCTAAATGCTGACCATGCAGTTACTGAACTGTCTATGGAAGCTCTTCATGCTGTTCAATTATGCTGCGTTCTAACATGCTGTAACATATTGTTATCAAGGGTTGCATGATATGGACATAAAATGCTTTTCGCTAAATCTTTTGGAAAATGTGATGACGATATGAGAAATGGTTAATTATGATCAATGAGTATAATTATTATTTTTTGGCTGTGCAAGTACAGAGAAATTTATCGGATCTTTTAGGCAAATAGCAAAAAAGCCTCATTTTTTATTCTGCAAAGTAATGATATAGAATAAAAATAAAAATAATTAAATACATAACAGGATTGCAAGTACATTTTTTGTGTACTGTAAGGTGGCAAGGAAAACAGCCAACATTGCCTGAACAGCTGATCCTATATAGACCTATAACAACAAATAAACAGAAATATTCACTTCTTAAAAACGTCCTTATTGTAATATGGGTTTGTTGTGACAGTAGCCATTGCTGCTTAGTCATCCCACCTAACAACATGACTCCTCTCTGACTTTTAGCTATCAGCAGCGATAAAAACATGCTGTAATTTTGTATTTTTTTCACTTGTAACTCACTGATTCTGTGGAAAATGTGCAATTGAAAGGTTCAGTTGGTAGCACAAGAGGAGATACTCCGTTTGGAAAGGTATATGGACACTTCTCCTGATTTCTGAGTTCAGGTGATTCAGCCACACCCGTTGCTAATGTGTGTAAATTCAAGCACATAGCCATGCAATCTCCATAGACAAACACTGTGACACTGTGATAGGATGTCACCTTTACCACAAGTTAGTTTCTCAAATTTCTGCCCTGCTAGATCTGCCCCAGTAAACTGTAAGTACTGTTGTTGTGAAAACAGCTCAGCTACGAAGCGGTAGACCACACAGACTCACAGAGCGGAGCCTCCAAGTGCTGAAATGCGTAGTGAGTAAAAATCGTCTGTTCATCACTCACTACAGAGTTCCAGGTTGCCTCTGGAGGCAACATTAGCACAAGAATTGTGCATTAGGAGCTTTGTGAAACTGGTTTTCATGGCTGAGCAGCTGCACAAGCCTAATATCACTATTCACAGGTATAGGTATATATAGGTCCTTTCCTGTTCCAGCATGACTGAAGCGAGGGCTATAAAGACATGATTTGATGAGTTTACTGTGGTGGAACCCCTGCACAGAGACCTGACTGCAACTCCACTGAACACCTTTGGGATGAATAGGAACATTGATTGTGTGCCAGACCTTCTCGGCCAACATCAATGTATGACCTCACAAATGCTCTAACTGAATGGGCACAAATTCCCACAGAGATACTGCAAAATCTTGTAAAATGCTTTCCCGGACCAGTGGAGGTTGTTATAGCTGCAGAGTAGGGGACAGCTCCAGATTAATGCCCATGTGCAGCAAGCTCATATAGGTGTAATGGTCAGGTGTCCGCATACTTTTGGCCATTTATTTTATGATTTGAATTTGATGGAAAGTACTTCTTAAGTCATGTTTTTTATTATTAAAAAAGATAAAAGTCAGATGTGTGCACTCGAAACTGAACATAAAAAGTGTAATTAATGCATAATTATATAATCCTGGATGCATTTCATTCCTAGACATTTGAATCCTTCTTGTTTTAAGTATGAATATTTTTTCTGAGAGTTTATTGGTGAGTTGATCTTTCTTTTTAATTTTTTTTACTTTTGAGCTCTTCTTTTATTTAAAGCCTGTATCGAATGACAATTGTCTGATTTCTCGGCCATGCAAATAGACTCTGTAATCAGCCTTTCTTAATGGGGCGTCTTCGCAAGATTTGACTCTATTGATGAGGAATGTTACTGCTGTCTCTCTGAGCTCATATTATTCCATGAAAAATTCATACATATTTCATGTAGTCTCTCTCTTTTTGGATGCGTATTGATGAGATGTGAATGTGTAACTGAAGATAAGAGGATGAGCGTTTGCATTTAGCCTGAAAAAGAAGAAGATAAAAGAAGATAACACACAGCTTATTTTGCATTTTGGTTCTGCAGCAACGGAGGTTAAGATTTCAGAGTTTAACCACAAATACGCTTTTTGATCGGCTTCTGCAGCTTTTTTTAAGACTAGACCACCTTTACTAAAACCTCTCGTTTACTTTTACTATCCTGCTATTACACAGTAAATATCTGGTGCTTTTTCTCTGCCGAGTTGATATTGCTTTCCATGTGATGTGCCCCCACAACCTTTTCAATCCTGTCTTGAGGATTTGGTCACTGGAGCAGAGTTGGAGTTGTCAACCACCAGGTATTGAGGGCTCTGCTGTGATAATTGGCTCTTTGCTCCTCTTGTAGAATTGCTGCCTATTTTTATGGCACTGAGGACTCCTGCTGTGTAACCGGTGATGACTTGATGGCTTTACACAGCACAGGAGAGGAAGAAATGGAGCCCGGTTTCGATTTAAGCTCACTTTGAAGATGAATTTGGAGAGATCTTTGAGTAAGCAATACTAAAGCTGTATGTATGTGTGTGTATAATGTTTTCCACAGATGGTGGTTGTGTCAGAAGATGTGCACGAGTATGCTGTCGCCCTGAAAGACACAGAAGAGAAAATAGCCCGATGCCCCGGAAGGGTAAGCAAATTCCACACGCAGCTGATGTGCTGCCCTGTAAGTAGGGGTGGACAGTATGTTAAAAAATAGAGCAATGATTGCAGCCATTAAAATACAAGCCTAAAGTGGCTTCATTGACTGTTCAGCCACTTTACCTGCTAGCTAGGTTTGCCTAGTAGCAGACACTGGTTGTGCTGTTGAATCACTCATAAAAATTTCTGCAGTTAGGGATAATTATGTGTGGTACATATTTAAGTAAAGCTACATAGTCTTCACACGAGTTAAAATATGAGCAAAAAAAAAAAATACAAATTAACAAACAAATTAACGGCTGTGGAAAGTGACTGCAGTCAACTTAAAGGGTTGCAGTCATCTTAAATAACTGTGATTAGGCGATTATGTAACGATTGTGACATGTCTGAATGTTCTTCAGTGTAGTTAATCAAGATTCATTTCATTTGTCTTTTAGTTCAAATTTGACTCCAATGTTTTTTTTTTTTGTTCCGTTTAAAAGGAGTGCAGAATATATTTATTACTTTCAATAATGTTACAACATTATTTTCACGTTTGAACTGAACATGAAACTCACATTATTGTAATGCGAACATGAAAGTAAGGTAATCAGTGTATTTTGCTGCATCAGTGGTATTTTTTATGGTTTTATCCAGAGACCCGTAATGGAACTTGACTCATAGCAACAATGTGCAAAAAACTAATAAATAAAAAATAATGAAAAACAAGCTAAAAGTTAACTGTGAGTACAGTCACTTTTATTTATTGTTTCAGTTACTGCATTGTGCTAATGGTCTTGTGAGTGTGCTTTCTGTATAATGAAACATGCTGCTGGTCAGTGGTTTTTAAGTACTGATGATATCCACGAAAATCAACATTATTGGGGATTTTTAAACATTCAGATAGTCATGAAAGTTTTGAAAATTGAGTTGCAAATTAGATTAGATTTGATTTTTGATACGCAAATTGGCTTCTCACTAACATTGTTATGTAACGTTTTCTTTGCTCACACTGCTGCAGGCTAAAGGCTACAGCTATAGCATGTTGGAAGCATAGCAGAAAAGCACTGCTAAACAAAAAGCTCAAGTTCATTTTCACTCTACTCATTGAAATTCATTTGGTAAATTTATCACGTTTGGTATCAGGTATTATTTTTCAAATAATGTCTTACAAAGATCAAAGTGGCCTCTGCATGTTTATATATATTTGGAAAATTTGGAAGCAAGACTGACATTTTGACATTTTAGACGTTTGGAAATAAATAAAAACAGTATGTGATTAGTATCAGCAAACAGGGTGAAGCCTTTTTCGATGTAATACACTAGATCGAGAGTGTATCGCTACAAACCAGTGAAATATTTGGGAAAAATCCTTTGGGTAAACTGGATATCTATGAATATGTTGCATGATGACTTCAGAGAAAATGGATATAATCGTAGAACATTTCTGAAATTGTTGTGTATGTTATGTAAAAGGACTGTATACAAAAAAAAACTCACATTTTTGTTCAAATTGGAAGAGCTAATGTGCTCTGTGTGCAGAGACCAGATATTCTGGAGGAACTGCAGAAGAGCCAGAAAGTGTTTGCTGAGAAGTTGAACCACCTCAGCCGCAGGTTGGCCTGGATCAATGCCACCATTTACTCCAAGGTACAGCTCTTTCCAGCCTAAAGACAGATTGCTTTGACATTCATTTTTTTGTGAAAACCTTTTTATATTTGCTAAGGTGGACGCTTAAATTTGTCCTGTATGGACGGACATTTAAGCTGAATCTGAAAGGAATGGTTCTTGTCTCAATGCAATGACTTCTATAGATTGTAAATCAGTGTATGTGTGTTATTTTACAGTTTTGATATCTTCACTATTATTCTAAAATGTGAAAAACAATAATAATAGAAGAAAAACCTGGTGAAGTGGTATATTTTGACTGGTACTGTATCACCTGGGATCTGCAACTTTTTGTATAATTCGTTGGTGTCAGAGTTTTATCTGTGTGTACATGCGCTGCAGGAGAAGATGCTGGACGTGTACTGGCTGCTGCGCGTATGCATTCGCACCATCGAGCACGCCGATAACACAGGCTCACTGTTCGCCTTCACCCCCGAGTTCTACCTCAACGTGGCCATGAACAGCTACAGCGCACTCAAGAACTACTTCAGCCCCTCCAACAGCATGGATGAGCTCCCAGGTATTCAGTCAGTAAACACACGACACACTCAATCAGCCGACCACTCCACGGACCACTCGAGATCATGCATTAATGATGGTGAATAACACACTCCTTCACCCAAAAACTGCTAAGGTGGCTAAGAGTGAAACGATAGCCAGCAGTGGAACTGTTAGCATGATCTCATTTGCTTAATGCTTAACTGACGGTGAATGAATTTCATTTATCATTAGTGCTGTTAGCATTTTGGGTGAGGGATTTGTGGTGAGGATTTTGGGAGGATTTACCAGCTCATATGAGACGTTTGCATAGTGATTTAACAGCATGGATTTGCAGCACTGGCCCAGAAAGTAATTTTGGAGACGGTGCCAAATGCTGAAGGTTGCCGGAGACTGTAGTTTTGTGCTTTCGCTAAAATTCTGTATACCATCAGAAATTCACCAGATGTTTCGACAGTTTTAGTCAGACATTAGTCTGTGGTTTGTCTCATGGATCTTTCCTCTGTCTGATCTGAGTGCATCTCTTTAATCCTCCTTGTAAACTCCTACTTGTATCCTAACTGCTCTGAGGAGCGTGACGTTTCCTTCTGAGTCTTGGTTAGATTTAAATATTACAAACTTAGTACAAAAAGTATTTTTTAATGGTTTTATTCTGTATTTATTTTGGGAACAACAAGAAGTTTTGAAATGACTAAGGCTTGGCGTACACTACACGACTTTTAAAACGGAGAGCATTACAAACTCAGATTAGTTTGTCACAGAATTTCTTGTCTTTTTGTTGTGAGGGTGGTCACACTAGAGGACACGGCAGAAAGAGAAACTATACCACCCATTTCATACCAGATGTGACGCGGTGTGCATGGTAATCCGGAACCACTCCATAACGCTCGTCATTTCGTACTGGACGCAACACACGTCGTGAAGCAAGAGCGGTTGCTTTTTGTGTTGCATTTTTACGTAATATAAATGTGTGTATTGTCTGTTTATTGTCTGTCGATCCCGATCGAGCTCCCGATCTAGAAAATCGCTTCAGATTGTGAAAATGTATCGCAAGGGGCAAATCAGGGTTAAAATAAGCAAAAAATCATGTAGTGTCGGCCCGGCCTAAGTAATATACTATAATTATTTATTATCTGTTATTTACTGTATTATCTGTTTTTGTCAAGTCGGTCACCACTTCTGAAACAAAGGGCTTCATTCTTGATGTTATACACTCTCAAGAATCATTTTTTACATTGATAAAATTTGTGTTTTACTCTCAGGCTATGAGGACACACTCACTCAGCTCGCTGCTATTCTCGCCAAGCACTTTGCAGACCCGCGCATCGTGGGCACAGGTAAGCCCACCCCACTCAGCCTGCAGCACACACTACAGTACACATCAGCCCAGTGCAGCGTTCATTTTTAGTACTAAAGATTTCTGAGGAGAGTCTCTCCTGTCCTGCATATTTCCTAATCTTGACTGAGTCCAGTTCATTACATTGTCTTAGTCCAGACTCTCCTGTAATAAAAGCAGAGCCTTCGTGATTTATGAGACAAATATTAAATTACAGACCTGGACTGCATTCATACAGCCATACGCTTCCACTCACACCGAGCTTAATGGATGAGCTCTCTCTCCTTCTGTCTCCTCTCTCTCTCTCACTCTGACTATTCCCCCCCCTCATTATTTCCTTCCTGTTACACCTCCACCTTTCTCTTTTTCTCTCTCTCCCTGTTCCCCCTCATTGTTTCCCTCTTTCTCCACCTTCACCTCTCTCTCTCTCTCTGTCCCACCTTTTTTCAGTATTCCGCCTTCTCTGTTCCCCATCTCTCTCTCTCTCTCTCTCTCTCTCTCTCTCTCCCCCTCTCGCTCCCCTTCCATCTGTCTTTCTTACTCTCTCCTTTTACCCCACTCACGATTTTTTTTCATTTCCCTCTTGTGTTTTCCATCTCTTTCTTTCCCTCACCTGTTCTCCTATTCTCTCTCTTGCTCTCACTTTTCTCTTTCCCTCTTTCCCCATTTGCTCTCTCCTTTTCATAGTTCTCCCTTTTCTCTCTCTCTCCCCCCTCTTTTTCCTCCTTTCTCCCTGCTTGCTTTTTGTCTGTCCTGCTTTCTTTCTTTCTCTTGCTTTCTTTCTTTCTTTCTTTCTTTCTTGTTTCTTGCTTTCTTTCTTTCTTTCTTTCTTTCTTTCCCATTTATTGTTTCCTTTTTCCCGCTCTCGTTCTGAGTCTTTTCCTCCCTCTCTTTCTCTCTCTGTCTTTCCCTTTTTGCCCTTGCCCTCAGTTTTCCCCTCACATCCTTCTGTTCTCCCTTCCTCTCTCTTGTTTCTAGCTTCTCTCTCTCTCTATCCTCCCTTTGGTCTCAGTATTCCTCCTTCTCTATCCCCCCTCTTTCTCTCACTCTCTCTCTCTGTCTCTCTCTCTCTCCCCCTCCCCTTCTGTCCTTTCTTTTTCCCTCTTGTATTTTCCATCTCTCTTTCCCTCTCCTGTTCTCTCGTTTTCTCACTTTCTCTCTCTCTTTTCGTCTTTCCTCACTTGCTCTCTTCTTTTCCTCTCTGTCTTTCCTTTTTCCCTACTCTCTCTCCCCCTTTTGGCCCAGTTTTCCCCCTCACATCCCTCTCTCCTCTCTCCTCTCCTTCCTATCTGTCTCTCCTAATGTCCTATCTATTTTCATTACCTGCAGCGAAGGGCGCAAAAAGAATCGGGTCCAAAAATGTGCGAGTAATCTGTTAGGGAGCTATTTTAATGGGAATTCTTTAAACCTAATATAGCCAGTGGCTTCTGTGGCCTATTCGTCACTCAGATTAATTCTCCGTATAAAGGTATAATTAAAAGTTGTCCCGTTCCTCTCCGGGAATGTACCACTGTTTGCATGGGTTCAGATTTCTTTAACTCTGTGTAAGGGTTTGACAGTGTGCACTGAATAGTAATTCTCAAGGATTGGGACTCCTTATGAGGGAGCCTATTCTATGATAGCAGTGTCTTTTCATTTTGGAGAAAGATAAGCGAGCTGTATTAATAACATTTCCACGACTCCTCACTGCACATGATCTCGGTTGGTTGATATGGGCGTAAGTAGGAAAACATCTGCCAAGACGCCTCAAGGCTCCCATTGACCAGATAGAATCATTAATAGATTTGTTGTTAGATACCGTCTGGCTTTCATACTAGGTTCTGTAACTGTAATGCATCTTAATGACATGCCAGTATACAGCGTCAGTGTTATTGATGCAGCATGTCGTCTCCTGTGCCGCCTTAAGGGCTTCATTCCTTGTTTTCTCAATTAAGGCTGAGATGAGCTTTCGAGTAGATCTCACAGATCATTGATCACAAATAAATTGAAGCAAACAGACACTTGCACACATTACCATCTTAAAACCGCTCTGGAAATGAGATATTTGCCTCGTCCCAATACGTCAATAAGCTTGAAACTTTGTCGTAAGTGTGACTGCTTGCTTCTTCTCCTCTGCAGACATCAAAGACTCATTGATGCAGGCCCTAGCCAGCTATGTGTGTTATCCACAATCCCTCAGAGCAGTGGAGAGGATCCCAGAGGAGCAGTGAGTACCCAAAATCCTCACAGAGCACAGATACGGCACTATAATGATGTGCAAATGATCTACACTTAAAATGATTGCACAATTGAAGTAGTAGTTATTAGCACAATAAAGTAGTAGATCCGCCAAGACATGTCTGGTGTCTGAAGTTTGCTTTCTTTAGTTTAGATTTGGAATTACAAGACTAATGTAGCTAACAAGTAATGAAATCGGTAACCCTAACAATTAGCATTGTGTGAACTGCATGACTAAATATAATAATGTCCAGTGGCACCGCTGCCACAGAAAGCCTGGTGGGACACAAGAGACTGTAGCGGCAGCAACTGACTCATCAATGAAACTACTCACAAACCTGATCCAAACACGAACACATTCCATCAACAAAATCACAAATTCACGAATTAACGTGGTGCAGAGTGGAGACAGCAATATGAGTGATATGATAACAGCCTTAGATCTCACATAACCTGGTTATACAGCATCGCATTACAATTCGGAGTTACCTATCAGTAAACGATCATTGTGGTCTGCAAATACATAGCCAAAGTAACATTTCAGAGCAGGGAAACACGCTTTCCGGGCATTAGGAGTAACACGACTTGTAATAATGCAAAACGACTCTCCAGTGATGTTGACTGCTCGAAAAGAAAAGATGCACGACGATCTTTCACCTGGGCAAACTTGTCAAAAACTTTTCTCTCAAAGTCCACTAATCCATGAATGAATTCAAGTGATAGCAGACCAAGGGCGGCAAGGAAAGCAGGAGAATGTTTTAGCTACACTCACAGTTAGCCATGTTTTTCTCTTGAACCTCTCTGGATTGAAAGAGCAGTGTTTGTCTTTTCCAGACTGAATGATGTTGAAATCCTCTGGCTGTTGTGTCCCAAACTTTTAATCTCTGATTTCTGCTCTAATGGCTGAGTATTTTTTTTATCTTTTATTACATTTTCAACCTCACTCATTATATTGCCTTGCTGTTATGAGTGGCTACCATAACTGATAACAATGTCTAGCTGTGTAGCAACACCCATACCGTAAACGACATTTACGCCTGAACATATGTAAATTTATTATTTTTGATTGGCTGCTTTCAGCATGGG